GAAAAAATAGTTTATAACTCTTAATTTTATAAAAGCTTATAAGCTTATAAAAATAAAGGAAGGATATAAATAAATAACTGCATTTGCAATAAAATATAGATTATATAAATATTTTATTATACTACAGGGACTTATAAATACACTTGCTTTTTTTTAAAAAAGAATAAACTATATATTTAAACTATACTTAAATAATTTTATAATTGTATATATTAATAATATTTTAATCTTCTTAAATACCCTTAAAGAGTATAAAAAATATATTTACTTTATATTATAAAAGCTTAAGGAAAATAAACTCTTTATTAACTTTAAAAAATATATATTTTATTTTTAAAAAGTTAACTTTTTAGGATATATTATTATACTTAAAGAAATTTATATAAACCTTAATAAAGTTAAAGTAATTAATAAATAGCTAGTACTAACTATATTTAAAAAATTATAAGCATTCCTTAAACTTATAAATTACTATTAAAAATTTATTAAGGACTTTTTATTAAAAGCAATTCTATTTATTAATATAATTAAAAAAAATAAACCTTTTAAATAGGGGGAGGAATAGTAAAAAGCTTTTAAAGAATTTAAAAAGGCTATTACTTTAAAGATAATTCTTGCTATATTTAACCTAAAGAAATCTATTATAATTAAAACTAATGCATTAAATTTTATAATTAAAGGGGTTTTAAGTTAACCAGGCAATAATAGCAAACTTAAACCTATTATATTCTTTTTATATAAACTTAATAGACCAATGCTATAATATTCTATCTATAATAAAGAAATATATACTATATTATAAGCATTTAAAAAATAAAAATATTATTACTATAAAAATAAATATAAAATTACTGTTTATATTAATTATAAAAATATTTTATACTTTATAATTATTAAAGAGCTCTTTAGCCAATAAGTTAAATACTTTAAATTTCTATTATAATTTAATTATAAATTTATTTATTATAAAGGCATAGAAAATAAAAGAGCTAATATATTAAGTAAAAGAAGTAACTATAAATAAAATATACTGGAATTTATAATATAAGCACTATACTATAATAATAAAGGAAATATTAAGTAAGTATATATTTATATAATATTTAAAGTACTTAAAGAAGACTTAATACTTAATAAAATTAAAGAATATATAAAGAACTATAAAAATAAAGAGTATTTAAAAAGAGTAATTATAGAAAAAGGATATTTTAAATATAAAGGAAAGATTTAGGTATCTAAAGAATTAAAAAAGGATGTAGTAAAATATATTTATAAATATCTGCTATATAAATATAAGAGAATATAGAAAATATATAACTAAATCTTTATATACTATAAAGTAATTAAATTTAAAGTATATATTTAATATATTATATTATACTGCAGCATATATTAATAGATAAAAGATAGAAGATATAAATTATATAAAAAACTATAACTGCTGTTAGTAGTAAAATAACTATAGAAATTAATAATATTTAACTATATTATTAACTTACCCCTCTTTATTAAACTCTTTATAAAGGTAAAATATAATAGCATTTTTATAGTAGTCTGCTGCTTTTTAAAAGAAGTATACTTTTTACTGTATAATAAATTATATACAGCAGAAGACCTTACTTATACTTATATAAAAATAATTACTATAAATTATAGACTATTAAAAGAAATAATATTAAATAAAGGATAAATATTTACTTTTAAATTTTAGCAGAAACTTATAGCTAAATTAAGAATAAACTATAAATTAAATACTATATATTACCCTTAAATAAATAAATAAATAGAATGTATTAATTAAATTATTAAAGTATACTTAAGATACTATATTAACTTTATATAAGATAATTGGGTAGAAAAATTATTAATAGTATAATACTATTATAACAGTATACCTTTAGAATCTATAGAAATTATACTATTTTATATAAACTATAGATTTATACTAAAAGTATTTAAACTACTATAAGAAGGACTTAACTCTAAAAAAGCAAGACTATAAGTAAAATTAATAATTAATTTATATAAAGAAATACATATATAACTTAAATTTATTTAAGATAGAATAAGAAAATATATAGATTAAGATAGAATTATAGAATTAATTTTTAAAAAGGGGGATATAGTTTATTTATTATAATACTTATAAGGCTATAAATTACTAAACATTAAGACTAATAGGCTAAGTAATAAGTTAAATATTAGAAAAATAAAACTTTATAAAATTCTTAAATAAATTAAAGAAGTTAATTATAAACTAGCGTTGCTAGATATAATAAAGCTTTAAAGCCCAGTGTTTTATATATTATAACTAAAAAAAGCATAAGTTAATAAACTTATAAAAAGACTTATTTTAAATAAAATTATTGTTAAAGATAAAGAAAAAGAATATAAAATTAAAGAAGTACTTGCTATATACTAAAACTTTAAGATTAATAAAATAAAGTACTTTATTAAATAGAAAAGATACTTTAAACTAAAGAACTTATAGGAATTAAAAGAATACTTTAACTTTTAAAAGCTAATATAAAGGTTTTTCTATTCTATAAGATTAATAAACTAAAGTCTGCAAACTTTAGGTTAATGCTAAAAAAGGATTAATTAATATTATTAAAGACCCCTATATACTAAAGATTACTTACTATATTATTTTCTTTATTTAATTCCTGTATTTTATAATAAATTAACTTACTACCCTGCTTCTTTATTTTACTTTTTATATAATAAATATAAGCCAGGCAGCTTACTGCCTTAAAAAGCTTAACTTATAATTTAAAAAGCTAAAATTAAAGGGACTTTAAGGCTTTACCTACAGCCTCTTCTTCTGCTTTTAGTTTCTTTTACTAATTTAATACTTTTATTACTAAAACTAAAATATTAATAATATAAATAAATATAAGAATAAAGCTTATTTATAAAAAAAAGCCACTAGGACTTTATTATAAAAATAACTGCATTTAATATATTTATAATAATAAAAAAAATCCTTTATTATTTAATAAGGAATCTTTTTCTAAAAGTAATAGGTATATAGTATATTAGAATTAGAACTATAAGAAAAAATAAATAATGCAAGAAGGTTATACTTATAGGTTTTATAAGGAACTGACTTAAATACTTAATTAGTTATTATGCTATTATTTAAAGAAGTAAATTATAGATAATAAGAATAGGAAGAATAGATGTATTTATAGATTATAAGGATTAATGTATGCTTAGCTTTAAAAATAAGACTAATAAAGAGGGGGCATTATATTATAATCTAATAACTATAAAATATATACCTATAGATAAACTATAGATTAATGGGCTAATTAAAAGGGGATTACTTATAGAAGCATAAGCTATCCTTAATGGATTATAAACACTAAAGTAAGCTACCTTAGAAGGATTATAATTGAGATTGTAAGCCTTGTAGAATGACTTACTATATAAAAACTATTTATTATACTTATTAAATAAAACTTAAATAATTAGTTATTAATATAGTACTTTTAGATAATAATTAGATTGGTTATTTATAACTTTATTAGCTATATAACTGCATTGCTTATAAGACTTTAACTTATCTCTCTGCTAACATAAACCTGATGTTAAGTTTATAGATTGGAAACCTACCCTATACCTAAGTACGATAGTATAGGTCAGGACGTTACAGTTTTAGATTTCTTAGCTAAAGTCTAGCTTATAGATTAATCCTTTAAAAGTAGACTAGCCTAAGGAGGGTATTGAATTAAAGGCAGGTAAATTAAAGTATAGGCTTTTTTTATAGCTAGACTTAAATGCTTTAACTAAGGTTTTATTAATGCTTTTAGTTAAAGCAGGAAATTAATTTTCTTATATAAACCTTAACTTAACTACTAGCTGTAGGGGCTGGGGTTAAAGGTTATATTAAATATTTATCTTCTTTAAATATTTAATAGTATAGTAAATATAGTTTTATTAAAAAAGGAAAAGTAGTATTATTTTTATTTAAATAAAATAAGGGGTTGTTTTTAATTTATAGATCTTTTATTTTAGATAATAGTATTAATGTTTTATTATCCCTGCTTAACATTAATAGAAGCAGCCTATTAGTGCTGTCTAGTATATTATTAATTTTAGTTAGCAGGGATGTTGTCTTATTATTATTTTGCCTAATTTTAATTAATTAAAGGATTAATTGCTGTCCGGGCTTATAACCTATCGAAGGCAAAAAGTAAATAATATAATAGTAATTGATTGTTATTAAAAGGTCTTAGTTATCTAGTTGAGAAGCCAGGAGGCAGGACCTCTTATATATGTAAAATCTATGTAATCCACGTAGTCAGATCGGACTTAGCGTTACCTTGTTCAACACAAACCAACAGCATATCGCGGCCAGCCTCGGACCGGTGTCAGAACTGTTACAATTGGATCTAAACGTAAGTTTGTGTTCTTTCTCACTTTGTTTTGTTCTCGTACTGCCTCTTATTTGCAGCTCATTGATATAAATACCAATCTCTTCTAGCAAAATTTAATCCTGCCAGCATTGGACGACGTCAAAAGGAAGGACTAAGAAAGTTATAAAACAGTAGTGTATAAATGTCACGGCCCGACTCTCATGGTCGCGACAATCGGCCTACAGGGTAGGCGACTCTGGATTAACGATTGGCGGATTAGCAAATAATAAACGGATCGAGGGGCCTGTGATAACCGATCCACATCAAGATCGAGGCAAGAATACTCGATCCTGTCCAGGACAACTGGATTATAAGTTACATTCTCTACGCTCATTCAAAATAGTTAGATAGCCAGTTGTATATACAATTGCAACGTTCAAATTGAATCTACTGATCTCTCTTGTTATATAACATTATCTTACATTGCCTGAACATCCAGTTTGTAACACTTTTATTCTAACTTGCAGGTGCCTGTGTGTTACAAACTGGCATTGGTCGGATGTTTGGCCTCTGTCTTCTTGAGGACTACTCCCTTTTTTGTAATAGTACTCTAATACGGCTGTATTATATTTATATTTACTAAAATTCAAATATCTCCTCCTCAACGTGAAACAGAATATCCTCACAGCTTGCCTTTGACGCCGCTATCCTTGCGCTACGCACTAACTGTGCAGGTCCGCATAGATTGACTGACGCATCCATGCCTAGCCTCGCATTTCTCACGCTCTCAAACCATTTCATTACATCTGGCCGGCCTTGACAAACTTCCCCGAGACCCTCATACTTTGCGGATTCCACCACCTCCTCTCCATCGCTTGTAACATGAATTGCTAAGTCCACTGTGACAGGCACAGCTGAGTTTGACGCTATAATGGCGAGATTCTTCAGCTCAGTTTCAAACCAGGAAATATGACCAGCTTGTTTGACTGTCCACAAGATATGAATATGCCAACCACCAGTGTTGAGAGCAAGTCCTGCGACGGCTTGGTTCACGATGTATGTCGCGATGCTGATGCTGGGAGTGATGCCGATTCCGCCCGCCACGAGAACCACCACCGGATTTGCTCCCCAATGCAAGCGACCAACGCCATAAGGGCCATCAATCTGTACTTTGGGGTATTTTATGTGAGTGGATGCATCTTGAGACGTCACACTTTCGGTCATTATTGATTGGGTCAATTCTATCTGGTCTCCATCAAATTTCTGCACCTTCTTTGTGAATGAACCGAGAGCTCTGATGGCAATCGTGGTCTCATTTTGTCCGGGTGCCGAAGCAATAGTAAACGGATGCCAATTGAAGAATGACACGCTGGGAATCTGTACCCATGCTATCTGACCAGGTTGGGATGGCGCTACCCCTGCGATGTTGAACTTCGTTACGCCTCCCGAGTAGTGTGTAACTGATTTGACATTGAGGCTGCGAAAGTTATTGTAGAATCGAATGCAACGATCAATTACCCAGAGGCAAAATCCAGGGAGAAGAAATTCGGGTCCCATTTTGGCGTGGTATAACGCCCCGGCAATAAAAACGAGGAAAAAGAAGTGCGGATAGTAGAAGGCTTCGAACCAGCGTCGACGAAAAATCTTGGGAACGGATGTGATTGCAATGATGGCTAGTGCGATCCATGCAGCGATACCCACAGGGATACGAGGCGCCTGCGCGGCGGTATAAAATTGGTCAGTCTGCACATAGTGTTGTATGATGAGGCTACAATGCAGCGTCGCATGTATAAATGTTGCCAATCCGATCCAGCGATGGTACATCAGTAGCACAGCCGACGGGATACGAGCAACATGGGCGAAGAGATTGGTGCGCGCGCCGACGAGGAGACTAAGCCCACCGTTGGCAATAGTGAGCCAGCCATAGAGTTGGTAATTTGTGGTATAAGCGAACTTGTTCCAGCCCCAGAGGAAGTTGAGAAATGTAAAGACAGAGACGCGTAGGAGAATGGAAAGATTGTTGCGAGTAATAAATGGGATGAGAGAAGGCAGCGTGATGATCTTGTGAATGGTGGTATAGATCTTCCAGTGCTTTCGGCGTGATGTATTCGGGCGGCCTACAGAGAAGATAATGTGAGGCTCAATACCTTGTGGGTGGCGTTAAGGTGATAATTGAGAGACGTACCTCTTCGGTAGAGAAATTGGAGATATGACGGGATTCGAAGCATGCTCTCAAAGAACAGCATTCCGATAACGCAGAGGAAATACGCCCTAGCGGCCACGTACTGGTCATCGATGATGGGCTTAAGCATAGATGAGGACACCATCTTAGCGTGTTAGGATGGTTGCAATTACTGGGAAGAAAGGGAAAAGGAAAAAGAAAATAGGAAAATGGTTAGGGGTTGTTGTGTTAGTCAGATAAACAGTATTTGTGCCTCTAATCTTATTTACATCCTCGAGAAGTAACTGGCAAACGTGTTAAGGACCTCAGTTTGCGCGTTCGACAAAGTCCTGAAGATAATGCTATATATTAACGGGCAAGCCTGATTACATTAACATGAGCAACTAATATTCATCACCGCCAACTTTAATAAATAATTAACCCTAGCGTTTCATTAAGCGTTAGATCCCGTCGTCACGGCACTTGCGCGCCACTTGAGATAGAGTTATCTAGTTTCCCGCCTCTTTTTTTTTTTAAGAAATAAAGTTATTATTAGTAGTATGTAGAGCTACTTCTTTAGGAAATTTCGATGATTAATTAATTGGGGTAACGGCGACCCGCGCGCCAGGACGACTGATAAGTATTGTCTCGGCCAATCCTGCCTTAACAAGGGGCTTAAGCGATAGGGATGACCCCTGAGTTCAGCCCCTTGAAGTTTGGAATCAAGATGCTAAATTGCTGCTGCGAACGATTCTTTGTAATCAATTGCTTCGATGATTAGGCGATTTGAGACATTTGCCCCAGCAGCGAATGGCGACTACACAGTATCTGGTGGCACAGCAAGCTGGATCAGAAGAAATCACGAATGGATCCAGAATATATAAACGACGAAAGAATGTCTTGCTGCACTTGTGTTTTTGCTCTACATCACATGCAACTTCGACATCGGACAAATAACATAACCGCCTCATTAAGTCGACTTCAATTCTCCAAGCCCAGTGCATCAACGCAAGCCGACTTTTCGCTGCCAAACTTTTACCATATCAACCATGTACTTTTCAACTATGCGCACTCTCTCCCTCCTTTCGGCCTTTACCCTCCCAGTTACCATTACTGCCAGCCAAGTCGGTGATTCAGGCACCCTGTCCTCTCTCGACGGGGGCCTTGGCGGCGTCGTTACCGTCGTCAGCAACTCGTCCCTCAAGATCTCAAAATATGAGCTCGCCGATGCCAGTGCTCCTGAGCTTTACTGGTGGGGTAGCGCCTCCAAAGATCTCTCATCCGGCTTCCGTATTTCCAACGCTCATATAACACAAGCTGCTACCTCAGACAGTCTAACAATCAACTTGGACGCGGGGCACCCACCAATCGACTTTGATTTCGTGGGTTTGTGGTGTGAGAAATTTAAGACCAATTTTGGTCAGGCGGAACTCAAAGCCAGTGGAACTAGTGGTGATTTGCATACTACTACAGGCGCTGCGGCACCGGCCCATACAACTACTGGTACTGGTTCTGTGAATGCCGCTAGTTCCATGTTTGTTATTGTAGCAATGGCCGCTGGATTTGCAATCTCTATACTATAGGTTAGGACAGTTACAATAAGTAGAGTTGCTTGTGGGATTAAATTGAAGTATATAGGGGGAGGGTTATAGATTTGTTTATTACAACTGGCCACCTGAAAATATTGACGTAAAGTAAAGCAGGGAAGGCGAGACGTGATTCAAAAGAGTCGAATCGACAATGTAGATACGATCTCTAGGCCGCAAACGGCTCCGATGTCCCCAAAACCTGTCCATCATCCCCTAGCGCGACGGCAAGAAGTATCTGTGACGTGGTGGCATTGACAATAGCCGTTGTTTCGAATCCCGATTTTGGGACATTTGTAAGTTTTAGAGAAATTCCATTATCTGTCAGTGCTTTAACATCCCAGCTGACAACCTCCGTGGCACCATTCCAACTCATAAAGACAACCAGGGAGCCATTGTCATGAGCTTCAGCTACTCCCTTAGGAGGATATGCCGGCTTACCAGTCCATTCTGTATACTTGTATGCACGAAACGACCCGGGGCTGTCAAATCCATAGCGCAGGTTCCAGACTTGTTTGCCAGTTGGGTCAAACTCTGCCAGTGCCGGGAACGTCGCTTCGCCAACGAAGACATTTCCATTGGGCTGGTCCTGCCATGACCCCAGTCCGATAGCACGAACAGTATCGTTGCTAAATAAGCGCCGTTCCAATTTAGCTGTCATGTCGTTCGTGTTCAATCGCAGCTCCAGGGCAGAAGACTCAACATCTTGGCTGGGCGGTGGGACATCATAATTTTCATTATCGAACATAGTTACGATGATAGATCCATCATCCCCCTTATGGGCAAGAACGTCGTGCTGGTATCTGAAATGCGCGTCTGTGGGGAGAGAAAAATCCTGACCAATTTCGCCCTGGGGGAGATGTTAATTATGCCCCGATATTATCTTAAGGAACCGTCAAGCTCACATTCAACCGGTATGTAACCTCTCCATCCTTGTCAATAAAGACCACGGTTGAGAAATGGCGGGCTGAGATGACGTATCCATCCTCAAATGGAGCAACAGCATTGATATGGAAGTACTGCGACTTGTAATTAAAGGGTTGCACTACATTGGTATTTTGAAAGCCCACTTACATCCCATGCCAGCTCCGGCGAAGTGCCAAGCTCTTGACCCATTCGGTTCTGTCTAAGAATTCTAGAGTCGTTAACTGGCAGCTTGTCCAAATGCTCGAGACTGGACCACTTGAACGAAATCTCCTCTGTGAATGGATTTATGACCAGAAACTGACTGTCTGTTACCCATCCATCTTGGGGACCACCAACGGCGGACAAATCCGTCTGAGTATAGTTGTGAGTTGTCACTATGAATCTGTCATCAGACAAGCGTCGTGACTCATGGAGGTCGACTTTGCATTCCGACTCAGCGGCACCAGGTATGAATGCAGGATAATCTGCCAAGCAGATGACAGTTGTCACCGTGTATGTAGAATCAATAAAGGTTACGTTTCCGAGCTGAGATTGAACATTTAGCTCAGCCCAGCTATTCCTCTAAATGATTGTAATGGACTTTGACTCACTGCCTGCTCCATGTTCGGTCCAAAATGGCCCAGGTAGTAAGATAATAGCGTCCCATTGCTGAAGAATTGCGGCCTAAAGTTCGCAAAGAAGTTGGGCTGGTCTGGCGGATAATTCGGTCCATGGAAGACGACTTCGCCGTTCTGACTAGCAATAAGTGGTGTAAGCTCTGATGTTGAAGGCGCTCCAGGACCTTGCTGAGGGAAGAAAAGAGCAGGCGAAAACCAGATCAATCCGGGTGCTGTTGGCCCAGTTTGGTTGACCTCAAGCTCTGGGCTTGTGAAAGGTTCGGTCTTGTACGAGACTGACGGCCAAGGAGTGGCAGCAGCAGCAGTAGTTGTTGTTAGCGGCAATTGTCTTGCAGCCTGACGACTCTCTGCAAGACCTGAGGCTACACCGACCAGTAGACCCAACGATTCATATTTCATTTTTCCTTCTTCAAATTCTTCCTTTATTTTCTCATGTGAGAAAATCGGGAGAGGGAATATTTGCTACCTAAAAATAAGACAAGATTCTAAACAGGTGAAGAAACAGAGCAAGTTGTGAGCATTGCCCCTTTCTTTCCGTTACGGCAGACGCAACTATGAGTTTATATCTGCCCATGTCTCAGAGCTATTTCCTTCGATTGTCTTGCTGGATATTCTTGGTGTATAATTTTTTTCGGGAAGTCGGAAAAATTGTCGGCAGGTGCAAGGTTGCAGTATGATTCCAAAAATTGGGGTTCTGACAATGTTTCCAAACGCCTCCGCTTAATGTCTCGGCTTATGCATACAGGTGCAAGGATGCCGTATGATTCCAAATAACTGAGGCGATGGTAATGCTTTCTCAGCCATCTCCGCTTAATGTCTCGGTCCATGCATATTAGTAGGCCAGAAGCCGGTAACGAGAAAATTTATCGATTGTTTGTGCGAATCGATAATAGAGGAGGTCACAAGTTTAAGCTGACTGATCGTTATCCAGTTGGATGGGCTTGCACGCTGTAGGGTGAAAGACGATAAGATGAAGTTGTAAGTGACTAATTAAGCAGACTACATTGCGTCACTAGACAGCCCAACCGAGATTCCAATAAGAGGCAATGTGACGACCCAACACAAAAAGCCATATATGGAGAGACTGGCCCACTTATTGTGGCACGAATTTATCCATAAACACATCCCCCATCATATGGAAGACAGATCCATGCGCAGTCAATCATATTATGGACCGAAACTGAGATTCTGTCCTTAAGAACCGCAATTATATATAAACACTTTCATCAATATTAGATAGATAGTCAGTCGTTAACGAACTATAAAACATCAATAACCATTATACGCTCAGTTCTACAATAACCACTTCATTTGTAAAAAGATTGTTCAATACTGCATAGGCCCTGTCCGCTCTGTCAGCACTAATCTAGGAATCTCTACCCTATGCCTGGATTCATGTAAAGGCATTCCTTCTAACTAAGAGTGATTGTTGAAATTAGGCCAATCAACGCTCAATGGATCGTCGGAGTGAAAAACGGAGCTATTCCACTAAATAAAGACCGCAACACACTGAGAAGGGTTAAGGTTGGGCTCATTGTGATAGCAAACCTAAATCGGCGGTAGGGGATTAAGAAGTTTCCCCGGGATTGTTTAGTTAGGCTGTTCCCAATCTGACGGCGATACCCATTTTTGGACTTTAGCGTTACCCTGCAGTCTTATATGGCTTCTACAACAAGCGCTTAGAACCATGGTAGACTGACCAAGCGTCCTTTAATTTAAATTGCCGGGAATGGCTTGTAAAAGAATAACTAAATGACGTAAGAAAATGTTAGTTCTTATAACAATTTGTTGTACTTCTAAGCCAAATAGTGCGAAAGATTAGGTCAATAATTGCAATTGTAGCAATTACTCTACCTGAACCAGCTGCTTATAAGGGATCTAGGCTACTACAGAGGGTCAGGTTGCAATAGTTCTTCTACCCTATAGGCCAATTGTTGCAACTATAAGAAATAGATCCTAACAGCTAGGGTTAAATAAACCTAGTGGTTTTATAGCTTGTATAATAATAAGCAAGAAAAAGCCTGCATTCCAGTAGGATTATATATAATTGGTTTATAATACTAGAAGTTCTGCAAGGCTCTGCTGCTAAAGTTAATGCCTGTATTACTGCCCCTGTTGCTATAATTTATACTGCGGTTATTAGTTAATAAAGATATTATGCTTTTAAACAGGAGAAAGGGTTATTTTAGTTTTCGGCAAGACTGACATTTAGTCTAAAACCTAATTACAGTATTATTTTACAGTAATACAATATTGTATTACGAAAGGTAATTTATTAAGGTATATTAAAAGCGTGATCCTCCTCTGATTAGTCTTTCGGTCAATCGTTGTTCCTGAAAGTTTTCTTATTACAGCTAGTGTACGGACATGAATAATTTTTACACTTGGTTAAATATAACTTGCAGCTAATAGTACTAGTAGGTGCTATGAAATTTCCCCAACAACTTGTGCAATGTAGCCACAGTTCAATCTTAGATTTTTACTTCCATATTAACAGCAGCCACCTTTCTGTTATAATCTCCGACTATTTTATTTACATGGGGCGCCTTAGCCGTGGATGTCTGCGCTGCCGGCAGCGTCGTGTCCGTTGCGATGAGGGACGGCCATCTTGCCAGCGCTGTATCCAACGCAACGAGGTTTGTGAGGGTTATCGCGATGAATCTTCACTCATATTTCGCTACGAGACAGAAAAGGTGATCGAGTACTCGCGCGCAAAACAAATGGTATTTCCACCAAGTTACAAGGACTCCTCGCATTCTTCCCCGCAGAAGCGAAGCAAATTCATTTATGCAAGCTCAGCTTCTCGACGACGGCATTCTGTTTCGGGGCCGAGCGCGGAACCCTCATCACTCACACTGAAGGAAGCTTCGGGTATCACGTTGCGCAATCCCCAGCCTTGGCTGAAAGGACCGCCAGCGCGATTACAACCGCCATTGGAACAACAGGCTATAGATCAATTCATAGATAGATATGTCCTTTATCCCTGCAATCAGACGTCTTGTCCCGGCTTCCTTGAGCATTTGCCTTGCATGTTTAATGAGGTCAACGTTGAGGGCCGGTATGCGCTACGCTGGGCTGTGCAAGCGGCAGCATTTGCAGACATCTCGAAAAACCAAGAAAGCAACGCGCTTGCAAGCAAGGCTTTTCAGTGCTATGGTATGGCACTCAGCGCTTTGGGAGAGTCGCTCTCTACACCAGGCAAAGAGCCAGATGATTATGATCTAATGACAGTGGTTGTGCTAGATATTTTCGAGGTAAATATATGATTTGACATATGCATACAGTTCTTCACTGATATTTCTAGACATTATATACACCCAACAAAGTTAGCAAAGGATCTCATGTCCAAGGAATGGCACAAATCCTTCGTTTGCGTGGCAGTGATCTGGTCTACAACTCGCGCGGCTGGAGTCTCTTTCGACTTGCACAACATCGAATTGTGAGGACTTAAGTTTCCTATTGGCCTTTCCTCACTAACATCGCGAAGCAAAAGCATCGATTAACGTATGACATGCAGCAAATCCCCGAGACATCATACTTGCTCAAGGAGTTGAATGACAGCGAGCCCTCCGCCCGCCTCGAGAAGAATGCCGACGACATCGGCGGGACCTGCAAGCGGGCGCGGACTTTGTTAGGCCTTATTATTGCAAATAGGCTACCAGCGTCGACCGTTGTCGACATGATCAAGGAGTTGCATTCATCAGACCAGGAAGCAGTGAGTTGGCGGCAGACATCACAGTGGTCTTTTACCACCTTTACCGTATCAGAACGACCAGATCTTTCTCCAGCAGCACGTGGCATCACAGAGACTATCCAACTGCATTCGGATGTATGGATGGCCTACGAGTGGAACTATCACAGGACAGCGCGAATCGCCTTTCTGCAACAACTGCTGCAATGCTCCAAAGCTGCTCTGGAAACCCCAGATCTAGAAGAGGTCGATAGGCAGACGCTAAGCAATACAATTGCAGAGTGCATTTCTACGGTTCAGTGGCTAGCTGATGAGTTCCTCGCTACCGTTCCTCAGTCCTTCGGGGATGTTAATCACATGGGCCTACTCCATGACTGCAAAGACGGCCCACCTCGCTGTCGCGCCATCGGCGGGTACCTACTTCTTTGGCCGACCCGTGTGGTCAAGGCCGAAACATCTGCGACAAGTGTGGCTCAAAAAGAGCGCGCGTGGAAGGTGTTTGAAAAGATTCGCGAATGTACTGGAATGAAAGATCTTCTCGGCGACAAGAGTATCATTTGATGTACCAAACCCACTCTGCCTAGATACAAAAATACCCATATCTAACTACAAAAGATGGACCAACATCCTTGTGTGACTTGATATACAATTATCTTTGACATCTCATTTCTTGGTGGCAATTTCATTCAGCTCCGTCCCATCCGCCAACTTGATTTTCTCTGCACTTAGCGTCACAAAGCAAATTCGGCATGCCTCATCCGTCCTGTTAATCCACTGGTGATTCACACCTCCTTGGATGAGGAACTCTCCCGCTTTAACAGTTCTCTCCTCCCCACTATCGAGCTTCATGACTATCTCGCCGCTAATCACGACCCCATAATCGAGGCTCAGCGTTCGGTGCATCGGAACACTGAAGTGAGGCGCGATGTTGCTGATGCAGAATATGGCGCCGTTAGGCGGGCAGCGAGGTATCGTATTTGGGTAGTTTTGTGCGGGCTCCATGTTGTTGACCGGTATCGAGTTGCGCACATCAAATACTGCAAAGGATGAACCCATCGGCCCCATGGGGCGGAACAGGGGCACCTCACTATCGGAGCCAAAGATTGCGGTTCCTGCTGCGTCGTGCGTCGTGATAACTATGCGAGGGTTGGAGTTGGACGATGACATGGTGAAGATGATGGAAGAAGTCCCGAACACCAGTATAGAAACTTCGTGGAAGTAGTTGAAGTGCTTGAGGGGGTTGAAGGTAGGCGTATGCTGAGGGCTCTTAGTCTAACTCTGGGTAGACTTAGGTTTTGTGATAGGTGGTGAGCTTGGATATTTGGCACTCAATTTTTCCAGCGTTTCTTGAGCTAAAAGCAAAATAATTAAAAGTCAATAATATCGCACAATTAAACTTTAGTTTGCTGAGTTGACAGAGTGGAATGGTGCTGGGCCAAAAATTCACCTTCTTTGACGGAAATTTACCTCACTTATATAGGTGAAGTGTACCTCCATCACGCCAGTCCAAAACATTTCCAGCTTACTGAAAGTAGCCTTGAAAGCAAAGCTCGCGATCATGTTCGCAGTGATTTCTGAATATGGAAACTTGGACGACAGCTCGGGGCCTGAGCTCGCGCCGCTAACCGCAGATGGAAAGTTGAACGATACGTCAAGGATATATTGCACTGCTGTCCCACGTCAGATGACGTTTATAGATTAGCTCGCGAATAATTAGGCACGGTAGATCTGGCGCTTGGGATTGGGGTTTAGAGTCGCCAATAGTTAAAAGAATTGGTGTTAGTCAGAATAATCTTGAGAGGAATAAAAATATAGCTAAGAAGGATTTAGTGGCAGGCAATCAGAGGGAAATGTAATAGACGCTGCTATTAAGGTTGCTTTAGCAGGTGGTTGGTAGCAGAGTGCAAGAACACGAAGCCTTGTCCAACGGTTCCTACCTTGCAAACCAGCATCGGACCTAGCAAGTGGCCGCATGTACTATTTTTATAACCAGACTTGAACTTCCTTCCCAGACTTCTAATAACTACAAATTCTAGTATTCTTTTTACACAATAGGGATTTTATATAGTAAAATTGTAATTGCTGTCTATCGACTGTAGTGTAAACAGTGTATATTAGGGTGCGGAATTGAGATTGCGGAGTTAAGCACAAGATACGAACCTAGCTGTCAGGCTACTCCCCCAACAACTAATGGCTATACACTCTACTGAGGAAAGGCATTCAGTTTCATGAACTTACATGAGCTCCGACGATGTTAAGCAGCTTTTAAATGGATGCTTAGCAACCAATATATCTTAAATTTCACCTTCTTTAGAGCTACCGGCGAGCAAGGCAGTGCTGTTATCGAATACGTCCTCAATGAGACAGAGCTTTCGCTGAAATATAAACCTCGTGCCGCTACTCATGATCCAAATTCGGAAGGATCATACAGCAACTAAAGGCGAAGAATATTCAAGTGATACAGGGGGATATCTCGGACCGTCGTCCGCTGGATGAAGCCTTGAGGGATGCGCACACCGTAACCCTTATCACTGTCCTAGACTTTGGTGCTGATGCTCTTAAAGTTGAGTTTCAGTCAGCCAGGAATGTCGCCGATGTTTCATTGAAGAAAGGAGTGCAGTATATTATTTTCAGCACACTGCTCTCTGTCAGTATTATACCAGTAGGAAAGTATACAAGTATCACCATGTTTGACGCAAAAGCTCAAGCGGAAAACTACATCTGAAACCTACCAATCAAGAGCGCATTTTATTCATCAGGGTCTTTCATGAAGAATTACATGACAGTAACAGCTCCAAAGAGGGCCAGTGATAGGACCATCGTCTATGTCATAGCCCTGCATATTTCTCTCAAGACAAGGATTCCAGTTGTTGATGCTGGAGCCGATACAGGTCAGTTTATAGGGTCCATCCTTGCGAAGCCTGACGCCTATAATGGTAAAGTAATCTATGGTGCTAGACGGCTGTATAGCCTGGAAGATATTGCAATGGTAATGAGCAAGGCAACCGGGGAAGAAGCAGTGTACAGGTAGATTTTTGTGGAAAGCTATAAGGTAATGAATGGTGTGTCTTGGGGCGTTTTGGACCGGACCAGCGGGGTGGATGCGGATTAATACAGGGGCCGTAAGCCACTGCTAAGCCAAGCATAGGTCAACCCCGGCGCCTCACTTTGCCTCGTGGTCTTCTCATCTGTTGGGAACTGAGGGCTGCACAGACACGGCAGCAGGCATTAGGGGACCGGATTGCGGCTCACTGCTGCATAAAGGTGTGAAGAGAGTACACAAACTCTAGCCTCTCTGTAGCCAGCCAGTAAGGGAGCTAGCCAGCATGGATCAAGGCGTCAGCGACCGTGCATCCCACAAGTTCTACCAGGGACCGCCAATCTTGCCGCGACCTGCAGAAGCTCCAGAAGCCCATGGCTCCTCTGGCGTTTCGCCCTCGCGACATCTGCCTCGGATTCATCATCGTAGCTGTACAGAGTGCAGCCGCCGCAAGGTGCGATGCAACCATCACCATCCGTGCTCCAACTGTGTCAAGGCTGGAAGCGAATGCATCTTTCCCACATCTAGGCGCACCCCGGTGAGGCGTGAAAAAGCCACCAGACGAAGAGACGAGGAGCTACTGAAATCGCTACGGAGGCTCCAGCGCCGACTGCAGTCCACCGAGATTGCACAGCTGGCGGCTCAGGGTAAAGCCGACGACAATGGCGATGAGGGCAACTGCTCCGAGGAAAGAACACGTCAAGATGAAGAAACGAGAAGCCAGCAAATCAGCCCTTTCGGTCCTTCACCGACAACTCATGTTGACAATGTGCCGGCCAATGCAGAGGAGCCTGCTCGGTTAATGCTTGATCACGACCGTAGCCGGTACATCAGCAATCATTTCTGGGCAAGCATGTCCAGAGAGGTAAGCTTCGATGTCCTGCCCATCGCTGGACTGCGGACTCACTGACCGGGCGCTTCAGATTGATGAAATGCGCGACATCTTGGACGGCTCTTCGTCAGAGCAAGAAACTGACGACCAAGACCATCAAGACCAAGGTAGTGCGGCGACGCCAAGCTCTCGCCTCTCACACAACAGCCGTGACTTTCCCATCTTCAGCCCGTCTGCCACCTCACAGTCACTACGGTCTCTCTACCCGAGCTCTTTGGATTTTTTGACCATTTTTGACGTGTTCCAAGAAAACGTCGACCCCGTCGTTCACATCTTCCACCGCCCAACGATGCGAAAAACCGTCACTGAGGTGCTGCCGCTTCTAGACGGATCGTCACTAGACCGCATGACGGAAGTAGTCGTGTTTTCCGTCTGTTATGCCGCATTGACTAGTCTAAGCGATGCAGACTGTCAGAAGCTGTTGAGGGAAGAACGGCACGTATTGCTCTCGCGATATCGGTATGCGACAGAGCAGTCGCTGTCCAGAGCCCGCTTCTTGGAGTCGCAAAACCTAGGGATCCTCGCAGCCTTGGTATTGTTCTTGCTCTGCCTTCGTCGACACGACGACTCCCGCCTCGTCTCCAGCCTACTCGGCGTGGTGATTCGCAACGCGCAAGCTGTGGGATTGCATCGCGACGGCACAAAGTTTCAGCTCTCGCCGTACGAGACAGAGTGGAGACGTCGTCTGTGGTGGCACATTTGCGTGCTCGACATCCGCGCCGCTGAAGATCACGGGTGCGACCCATCAATTTACGCCCAAAATTACGACACCAGATTCCCGCTCAACATCAACGATGACGATCTTTCTCCCGAAGCCACCATTGCGCCACCAGAACGCCAGGGAATCACCGATATGACATTTTGTCTCCTGCGCTTCGAGGTTGCGGTCGCCATCAGCAAGCTCAACTACCATGGCCCTGTCGGGAGCCAGGAGCCGGCACTGTCCACGGCTGAGAAATGTGACTTGGTCGAGACGATAGAGAAACGCTTTTATGAACGCTACATAAACCGTTGCGACATTACCAAACCATTTGACTGGGTCTCAGCTGCGTGGGCACGGTTGATGCTCTCCAAAATGTGGCTTGCTGTGAGCAATCCGCTCCATCCGCAAGACGATATCGACGGTGCTGCTCCCCTCAATCTCCGACACGTAGCCTTTGAAAGGTCCGTCGAGATGCTGGAACTAGCAGACTCGTTAGAAACAGGACATAGGGCTGCAAGGTGGCGGTGGCTGTTCATGACACACGTCCAGTGGCACGCCGTTGTCTTTGTGCTGGCCTATCTCTGCGTCCATCCTACCGACGACCTATCCCCTCGTGCGTGGCTGGTGATGGATAGAGTTCGTGAGCGGTGGCCTCGCGATAGTCGCTCAAAGAAAGGGATGCTTTGGAAGCCCGTTCATCGACTCATGGACCGCGCCCAACAAATTCGCGCCCGTCAAGGATATAGTCCTCCGAATGAGTGTAATGTCTCTGGAGGCAGCCGATTCCGGCATCACGATAACTCTCTACCAGGTGTCTCTCCACAAACTCGAGTCTCGGCAACAGCGCCCACAATGTGCGAATCTACCACTCAATCTACAGTCCTTGTCAAAGAGACCCCTGCCTCGCGCTTCAGTGCATTTGGGACCACTTCAATCCCTCCGATGTGTCAAGACGCCGATGAAACCGAGCATCACCTCACTACAAGTATCGATCTGGCAGACAGTAGCTCCAACCCCAGCTTTGGGGTTTCCGTGCAGCCCCCCGGCGCAGGTAGCCTCCAAGATCTCCAAGACCCCCATTCAGACTGGACCAACATCCTACATGAGCTGCACCAAGGCTTTCAGGAAGACCCGTACGTCAATATGATAGATCCTGCGGAGGCGATGCAAGAGTACAATAACCACCTCTGGGGCATACTCTAGATGCAGATTCGCCAGGGCAATCACATCTAACATCATGAGGTGCCACAGCGGAAGCGAGTGATTTTCAACAGTTTGTTATGGAACAATTGAACATATCAAATTTATTTATTGTTTTTTTTTTTCTTTCAACTCTCTACTGGACAAACAGCGATGCTATCGGCCGATAGTGAGCCGTCCGTCACCACAAAGCCCACTGCGCCTCCTACATAGTCCTCGTCTAGTGCTACTAATCCCACCTGGCCGACTTGTCCTTCGATCTTGCTGCCTTGCACGCGTAGGCGCAATTGGTACTTGCGATTCTCCTCCCATACAAAAGGCATGCTCATCAACTCTATCCTCTCATTGTCCGCAGCCTTGACCAACGCCACCCGCTTGTCTTTGGTTAACATGAGCCCGTAATAGCGGTTAAGTCCCTGGACCCGAGCGGCAACGCCCATTGACCCGCCAAAATTGACCACAAAATTCGATACCATTACAGTATAGTCGGCCCAGTCTCTGGCACCTTGGCTCAAGAGGCCCTCGCCTCGGTCTTGAGCGATGAAGAATGACGGCCCCATGTCTGTGTGCACCTTGTCCACGGAACTGACCCAGGCACGGCTCCAGAAACTCTGGCATCTACTCTTGTTCGCGGGCCGTTTCAGTGTCATTCGAGGCACGCCGTTCCATCGCATGCTGTGAAGAAATATGGCACCATCAAGGTTCGGAGAGCCTTTAGCGGGGCTGATCGCGATGCCGATCTGCTGGATGGGCCAGTTCTGAAGGCTGTCGGGGATGGTCCACTGCAGGCTATTCTGTTGCCCGGACTTTATGTTTATAGGCTGACTATCCACAGTTGTCAAAATGTCGTTTTCGTCATATGCCTTGATCCTCAGACACACAGTCAAGACCGTAGTGTTGCTGTCACCTGCACGAAGTTCTGCTTTAACCCGTTGGCCTGGGTACACCAGAGGCGAGGCCATGATGTCGTAGTTTCGATCAACTTGGAGGATATCGAGCGGCGTGAAGGTCGCAGTCATTACTTCCACAGGGCTGCTCGTGTCTGTCAGGTTCTTGATGTGAATACAAAGGCTATCGACTCCACTGTCTTGGCCTTGGCTGATGCGGACCACATCCAAAGGAGACTGGGGATGCATCGTCGCCTGGAAGCCCTGAACGCTACCAGGAAGAGAGAAGTGAAACTGAGCGCCATCCTTTGGTGGTTGGAGTGTCGGGTTGCCGGACAAGCGATAGCCTAGATTAGCTATATCGTACGCTATGCGCGCTGCGTTGTTTATCGAGTAGCCACCGTCGGCGCTGGAGATGATTGCGCGATCGGCCAAAGGGCCCAGCCAGTCAGGGCCGCCTTGAAATGCGGCCAAGCCGTGCATTAGAGCAACCAGGCACGCAACATTCCCCGCGTTGCAGTCGGTATCCCAACCACAGGTATTGATGACATGCATGGCCTCATGAAAGTCGTGGCCTGCGTATAGTAGAGTCATGATCATGATGGCATGGTTGGGGATAACGTGGCAAATACCCAAGTACTTGTCATAGCCATAATTATCTTCGACCCGCTGTCGCGTTTGCCTCCAGTCGCCGTCCTCTTGCACCCAGCGCCTGACGTCGGCAATCATACGCGCGATAATTGATTCAGCTGGAACAAACGCCAGACCGGCATTAAGGAGATGGTTGACGTCGCTGGACAGGAACGCTTCCGCCTCCATGGCCGCCCACAACTTAGCCGCATGTACCGCTTCGCCATCGTGGCTCACTCGTGCAGCTGCCTCAGCGAGCCGCGCCGCCAGGGCCGGATTTCCCGGAGCGACCATAGCCCAGCCGTCGATAAAGATTTGGGCGCCAATCTGTTCTGCCAGAGTGCGACCATTCGTCGTGAACGCACCGCTTGCGGGGGCGGTGAAGCCATTTTTCAGGTTGAGGAATGCTGTGTGCTCGGTCGAGATGCCGTTGCCTCCCCACCAGAAGACAGAGCGGCGCTCCACGACGTTATTCAGCCAAGTCTTGCCGACATCCTCGGGTGAGAGGTCTGCAGAGGCACCGTGCTCTTCAAGCGCGCGGACGAAGGTAAAGGTGCCTGAAACGTCATCGTCGATTACAACAAGTGGTAGATCTAGCTTGTCATGTACATAGTAGCGAATGTCTCCGAGCTTGTCCTGGATTTCTTGATACGTCCAGTTTTCGAATGGCCGCCCCAGGTACACGCCCACTAGCTTCCCGAGAACGCCGGCATAGATTCGATGCAGATAGTCATCGGGTATAGACGACATGGTTTTTCCTGAGTGTATACGGTTGACAAATGATGAAACAAAAGGGAGCGAAGCCACCGAGTCGTAAGATGCGGCTATGGTGTAGAAGCGCTCAATTATCGTAAGAGCTTTAATGAGGAGCGCCGGTTGCGGCTTTGCAATAGCTTCAAGCTGTAATTATACTGACACATGCAAAAAATATTTGCGCATGTGTGCAAATGTATCAAAATCTCGTCGTATTCTCTCGTCGTATTCTTTTCCTGCTAGGGTAATCCCCAATGTGCGACCGCAATCCGGAACCCGTCTCTCGAGCCCCGAGCCCGAGCCTCAGTGCTCCACCCCGTTCTCAGACACCGTTTTCCCGCATTCGAAGCTGCAGTCAGCTTCAGTCTCGCCGTCCAATGAAGAGTCCAGATAGGTCGGGAAACTCGGGGTTCAACATTCTCTCCGAGGCCAAGACGCACCACTGACCCATTTAATATAGTATAGGGCTCACGCCTCAACGTGCAACGCCTCAATGCGGGGCCCGGCTACGCTTTTCCTTACACAGCAATCTGGGGGTCAACACGCACGTGGAAATGATTCCTTTTACCCCATGGGGGAGAGGAGGGATCCACACACACCCGCCCTCTTTTCGGGATATGGCTTCATTTGGCCATTGCACGACACAGCAAGATTAGCGAATGGGTTGTATTGACACCTCTCCCGTTACGCTCGAGTCAGGAGAGGCAGAAGAACTAAATATAGGAGGTTTCTCGGTCAGAACCATCGCTTGACCTCGACTGACACTCATCTCCAATTATACCAAAGGCTCCAATACGACGAATAACAGAACATGGCTCATCGAAAAATTTCGCGCTTCATTCCAAGACACCAAAAGTGGCTCATAGCGTGTCTCATTGCAGTGTCATCAGTGGACTCTGTGGTATGCCCTTCACCTTGCCACACGCGGCAGTTACCAGGCGCGGCTAACCATCAGCGAAATTTAGCTCGTCGGCTACGACAGCTCGCTTATGGGTAGTCTCAATGTGATGCCCTCTTACAACAGTTACTTTACCCTCACCACCACGACAAAATCGCTCAATACGGCCATCTCATATGTCGGTGGTGCTGCTATCTCACCTCTAGCAGGATTCCTGGCGGATTGGAGAGGCCGCCGCGAGTGCGTATTTTGGTCTGCGCTGGTGACTCTCATCGGCGGCGTCATCCAGGGCACCGCTCAGAATATCGCAATGTTCATCGCCGGGCGGTGCGTCGTCGGCGCGGGTATGGGGCTGGCCCAGACAACGGCGCCGACCCTAGTTGCCGAGACAACCCCCGTCAAATATCGAGCCTTCGCTCTCGGCATGTACTACTCTTGCTGGGGCATAGGCACACTTATCGCAGCAGGCATCTGCTTCGGGGTGCGTCGAATCTTTGGGCCAGAGGGCATATTAACAATACAACGAGCTGATGAACTAACTTCTATCCGCTGCAGACACAGAAACTCGATTCAACGTATGCCTGGCGCATTCCAAGTCTTCTGCAGGCGACTCCGAGCCTCGTCTGCTTTCTTGTTTTGTTATTCGTCCCTGAGTCACCTCGTTGGCTCATTAGCCATGACCGACACGAGGAAGCATTGGAGATTCTCGGCATCGTTAACGGCGGTGACGCTGACGACGTGCAGGTCCAGTATCGTGAGATTGCGGACACAATCAACTTTGAAAAGGAGCACAGCCTGGGCCTGATGCAGGCGGTCTGGAAGAAGTCTAGCCGGAAGCGCTTGTTGATCACGACGACTTTCTCGGCCATTGTCATGCTCCCAGGAACAAACATCATCACATTTTACTTTGGCGAAATGCTCCAGAACGCCGGTATTCAGAGTCCAAATACACAACTTCAAATCAACGTCATTCTCACATCGTGGAGCTTGGTCATTGCCGTCGTGTCATCCTGGTATACGGATTTGTTGGGCCGGAGGCAACTTTGCTCTGCTAGTTTGACACTGCAGACCGCCTTCATCTTCATTTTTGGCGTGTTCACGAAACTGTACGGAGAATCGACCAATACTTCGGGTATATATGCAACCATTGCTGTCATATTCTTGTATAACGCCGCGTACAACTGGGGCATCACGCCGCTCACGGTCCTCTATCCCCCCGAAATTTTGTCTTTTGAGATTAGAGGGGTCGGTATGGGCATCTACACCCTCGCCACAAAGTGCTGCGGTCTTTTGGTGACTATGGCCGTACCTTTCGGTCTTCAGGCTATTGGATGGAAATTCTACATGGTGAATGGCTGTTTCGATGTTTTGATGGTTGTGTTTGTTATTTTCGTGTGGGTAGAAACTCGTGGGCTCAGCCTTGAGGAGGTTGACAGGCTGTTCGACAAGGAAAAGCGTGAGGTGGTCGCTGAACAAGTCCATGAAGAGACGAAGGTGGACATAGAGCATAAAGAATGTTGAGGGGTCTAGGATTACTTCCTCCATGAGCTATCAATGCTGTCAGAGCTAATTACAAAGTAAAAATTTAAACAGTTCATATCTTGATGCTTGACGGGATCGATTGCACTGGTTTTCGATGGCATCTCTTTATTCTCAACGATTTACCTAGAACTCTGCCCTCCCCCATGGTGGTAGCAGTCCCTTTGGCGGCCACTGTGTCTGCGCAAACCGACATCCTAAGTCGTATTCTCCCGACCCAACTCTCTGCTCTTTGCCTTCCTCTTTCCCCAGCTCAGATGGCCCGCCGTCACCGGGAAGGCTGACGACGGCGGTAGAATTTGGGGGCACCCGGAGTCTCATGCGGAAAAAGTCTCTGTTCAATGTCCACCTTAGCTCAATCCGGCCGTACCTTGATTCGAACACGGTATTTGCCCAGGTTAGCTCTTTATTGGGCCGCGGCTTCACTCTGAACACCTTCCAGCCGGGCTCAATCGCTTCGAGGCCACCTATATCAGCGTGCATCCAATTTGCAATACTCCCGAGAGCATGATGATTGAAACTGGTCATTGAACCGGGGTTGACAGTCCCGTCGGGGAGCATGCTGTCCCAGCGCTCCCACGTTGTGGTAGCTCCCATCGTAATGGGGTACAGAAATGAAGGACATTTCTTCTGGAAGAGCATGGCGTAGGCCAGCTCGACGCCACCAGACTGGGTGAGCGCGCGAGAAAGAAGAGCACTCCCCACAAATCCAGTGGTAATCTTAAAGTCATTCAGACGTACCAGTCGGAAGAGACGAGCCGCAGCCTGTGCCGCCGTTGAGTTACCTCCAGATTCCGGGAGGAGATCAAACGACAGGGCGAGTGAGAGAGCCGTTGCAGTATCTGGAACCACGAAGCCAGCCGCCGTCAGATACTTTTTCCGCCACGAATGAATTAGACGCAGGGCGGTGTCTCTGAACCGAGTCGAGTCTACCGGCTTGTCCAGCATCGCCGCCACCTCTGCAGCGATCTGGGTGGAAGCAATGAGGAAACAATCGGCAACAAACGTACCATCCGTGGTACCCCTGCCAGAATCGTTACGAGGCGCTCTTGGGTCCAGCCAGTCACCAAATTGCCACTGATCAGGATCCCAGAGTCCATCCTGACCTCGGATCACACCATTTTCCAGGTACTGAACCATGCTATCATACTGCTCCGAGAGGAAACTAATATCGCCAGACATACGGTAAAGTCTCCAGGGAACCATGATGGCAGCGTCACCCCAAACGCCATTGGGCATCGGATCCCATCCGTGCCCCCCGTCGCCGTTTCTTAGTAAAGAATTGGGGATAAACAAGGGCACCACGCCTTGGCACCAGTATTCGCTCTCCTCCATCTGATCGAGGTATAGATCTTGCAACCAGTTCCTCAACATGCCAGCCGTGTCATACAAGAAGTTGGCAGTAGGTGCAATAATATTCAGGTCTCCTGTCCAGCCGAAGCGCTCATCTCTTGAGGGACACTCGGTGGGCACACTGAGAAAATTGCTCTTGATACTACGGAGAGAATTCGTATGTAGTCGATTAACATCGTCGTTGGAGCATGAAAACCAACCCGTCCGCAGCATATCGGTATGTATCACTTCAGCGACAATACAAGCTTTGGTGAGAGGGCAGTCCTGGTCATCGGGGCCCCAACCCGCGATCTCGACGTATCTGAACCCGTGGAACGTGTGGTGCGGATGCCAGTCAAGGAGCTCCCGGCCATCGCATATTATTATGTCCCTGGCTTTAGCTGTTCGCAAAGGACGACATATAATCTCCCCATCTTGGATGACTTCCGCATGACGAAACGTGATTTGAGAGCCAGCGATTTTCTGGATTCTTCTAACGCAAATGCGACCGGCAATATTTTGACCAAAATCCATAATAACAGCGTTTCTGGACCGCGATTTGAACATGTCTTTTGGTTTGAGCCTCTCCACCACCCTGACCGGCGGGGCTTCCGGAGACACGAGCCTGCTGACCGGAATAGGCGATTCTCGGACCGAGAACTTGGCGTTGTCCAGATTTGAGCTCATACTTAGACTTTGGTCGAAGATTTCACCATCCAATATTTCACTGCTAACCAGGGGTGTGTTCATGACGCCCCAGCTCGGGTCGGTGCTCACCAAAATCGGCGTGGTGGAGCCTGCCACCCAAATTTCTAGCTGCGCCAGGACACCGAGTTTCTGGCCGTAGATGAATCGTTTCCTGGCCCAACTGGTAGCAGAGGCAAACCAACCAGCAGCCACATCTACCTCGATCTTGTTCCAGCCAGGCGTCACCAAAAGATCTTTGGCGTCGTAAATTTGGTAGTGCAGTCTCTTTTGGTAGCTTTGGAAGCCCGGGGCCAAACAGTGGTCGCCGACTTTTTTGCCGTTGATTCGTACGATATACACGCCATGGCTCGTAGCATATAGCCGACCTCTCTCAATAGTTCCGTCTTTTAAGGAAAGATGAAATCGCTTGTAGAAGCATAGCGGGCGGGCTGAATGATCCGGGCTCAGTGGCCACGGCTCTGACACGCTGATCATACGCCCTCTCCAGTCGCTGTTCCTCAGTAATGCGATCTCCAAAAGAGACGACGTCGACCATTCAGTTATGGACTCATGGTGAAACTCACTACCACGCCCATTAGATAGAGAATACTTGCCGTAGCACCTGACGCGCACAAAACGGCGCGCTCGTGAGTCGAGAGGCTCGGAGTTTGGCCACGGTACAAGAACACTGTCTTCGCCCTCTATGTGGAAGACTTGGCCGGGTTCTGTGTTATTATAGGAAATCGCAATATCGTATGCAGTCTGTTTCCAATTACGGATCTGTCCGTTCGGGTATGAGAACCTCCATGAAAGCCTGGGTTGCACACATTGAACCCCAAAACCATCGTGATGCTGCTCAAAAGTCGGTGGAAGAACCGAGACTGGAGGGGTTGAGTCGTCCATGTCGGGCGGTGGGGGGCGAAGTATTTAAAGCAATAAGATAAACTATATAGGGAATACTTTAGATATCTTGAAAGTTAATGAACTCTCTAGTTATATATTAAAAATACTTGAATAGCTGGAAACCTTTTTTTTTAAGGCATTTATTTGCGGTGCTGGTTATTAGTACTTGCAGTTAATTCGGAATACCGAAAGCCCGAGCATTTAAAATATCCCAAGCTTTATTGATAAAGTAGTAGTAGTATATCATCTACGTAAATAAGAGTACTCTTAATTAAAATTTAAACCGGCATAAATTACATTCTTTTTTTGCTCTTTTAAGTTAGCTTCAATATCAAGCAGTCGATTATATTTGCTAACCCTTTCCCCTCTAGCTGGAGCACCTGACTTGATGTGACCTGTGCCCAGCCCTACTGCAAGGTCAGCAATAAAATCATCTGTTGTCTCCCCAGACCTATGAGACACGAAAACACTCCATCCCAATTTGATAGCATATTTAGCCCTGTAATTATTTCATTAGCTGCCTGTTTAATTTCGACATGAAATATGAATGGTTTGTATGACGTACGCATCTATGGCTTCTGATACTGTACCAATTTGATTGAGTTTCAATAATACTGCATTGCATGCTTTTTTCTCAAACGCAAGTTTTATACGCTCCACATTCGTGCAAATCAGGTCGTCCCCGACAAGTTCAATGTTACAGTCGCGATTGAATTCCGTCCAACTTGGCCAGTCGTCTTCCGCAAAAGGGTCCTCAAGTAAAACAAGTGAGTATTTTCCAATAATAGCTTTGTATAACTGTTGCATCTCTTTCGAGGTACGAGTGTCACTCGATGTTTTGTCTTTAAAAGAAAGGTCATATAACCCTGTTTCCTTATCGAAAAACTCCGAAGATGCAGGGTCACAAGCAAATTTGATACGACCTGTATGCCCTGCCTTTTCAACGGCCGCTGTAATCAGGTCAAGTCCATCCTCTAAGGACGAGATGGGAGGTGCAAACCCGCCCTCATCACCAATACCAGTTGCTAGGTAATACATTAGTCACGTTTGTTCTAGTATGTATGTATTTTGTTGTCTCACCGGGAGCACCAAAACGATCCGCAATAATTGCTTTGAGTGCAGAGTAGACCTCTACAGCTAACCGAATCCCCTCCGCAAAAGATTTGGCTTCAGTTGGGGCAATCATGAGTTCTTGGAACGCCATGGTATTTCCAGAGTGAACTCCCCCGTTCAAAACATTGAGGAAAGGAACTGGAACAACATACGGGCCTTCAAGTCCAGCTTCCTGTCGTATGAACTCATATAATGGGACATCCTACCCGTAAATGTAAGCATTGATCGAAAAGAGGATTTGAACAACATACCTTGGCCGCAGCGCCTGCCCTGGCGCAGGCCATACTAATTCCGAGGATAGCATTTGCTCCGAGCCTAGACTTATCAGCAGTACCATCTAGCTGTTTCATAAAACTATCGATTTCCTTCAACTGCGTCTTTGGATCAAGTTTACGCTCAACCAGGGCTGGTCCCAGTAAGGTCTCAATATGAGCGACAGCTTGAGTGGTGCCCATCCCGGCGTATCGTGACATATCGCCATCTCTAAGTTCCAAAGCTTCATGTTTTCCAGTTGATGCGCCCGAGGGAACAAGGGAGTAAAAGGTACCTGGTAGTGTCAGTTGCGATCACTTGTTCGGCATCATTGAATCACGTACCATGAGATGTGGTAACTGCTACTTGCACAGTTGGCTTTCCCCGGGAGTCAAGTCGTTCTGCTGCCTTGATCGATTCAATCATGGCGGCCATTGTACTTGCGTAAATTGAAGTGGGTGGTTTCGTGTTTGGATATCGGAATAATTCGTTGGTTTGGTCAGTTAGTTAACAGGTTGAAAATCACAAGGCATTATATGACTACAATAAAACGTCACGGCTTCTGGCCAATGCTGCAGCTGCAAAGCAGCTCCCTGCTGCTTGCTGCCTGCAGTATATCCGCCATATCCGATGTAGTTAAACTCCACCTCGCTAAACCATTGCGTAAAAGGAAATCCCCTTACCACCGCCGAACAGAAATATACAGGCTTGTAATAACTAGCCAGTAGCCTCGGATATACCGGGTATGGGAAGCTTGTTGCAGTTAAACCTTAGGCATTTCCTTCTGGACTAGGTACAGGTAAGTTCCGAATTACAGTATGTAAGAGGGACGAAAAAGAGGTGGGTCTCTCTCTTTTTCCCCAAGTCTAGCATGCCCGCCTTTGGTTACTGAATTGTTCGCTCAAACTGAGGGCTGCTGCTTTGCAGCATCCTAACCTGGCCGAGAAGGCACCGAATTCAAAGATCGAGAGACCAAGCAACGGCATGTAGGGCCCCCCGCGGAAACAAGTTAGCCCCCATTCCTACTTTTTTCCGGGTTTATCTGCGGTGCTTGGATTCTGCAAATCAAGTCATCGTTAGTCCCACATACGAAAAAACCGCCTTTACTTATTTTTGGCCGCCTGTTTCACTACTACTTCTGTTTCACAACACAGAATTCGAAGGCTAATAAATTAAATGAAACTCTGAATTCCCGATTGAACAAACCGGTCGAGCATTTACGCTATAAGAACTGTTTTAGAATTTTGTCCAGCACGTCTGTTCGATTCAATTCAACTCATAGCGGACTCCATGACATCCCTTCCGACTAAAAAGAATGGCTCTGCAATCTCTTCATAACTGGTTTAGAAACTATATAACCTCAATCAAAAGAATAAGTAACCCAGGTGAGAGTCGGATTGAGAATGAGTCACCAAATGAACAACAGTACGACATTCCTGAGGCCTGGGTCAATCTAGACGAGCTGGCAGTGACGAGTCCGGTCGAGAATACTGAGGAAAATGCAATTTATCGGCACCACGACTTGGAGGAAACAAGAAGCCGCCAACAAGAATGGAAAAGGCACAACGAGCAACTTAGGAGAAGTAGCATACCCACGGCTACGAGTGCAAATAACCAGGATAAAGAAGAAAAGGAGAAGGGAAACCGCGTGTCCCGGTTAGCCACGCAAATATACACGCTGTCATATCTGATATTATTTTCCATTCTTGGGACACTTGCCCGGATTGGACTGACAGCACTAACATTCTATCCTAACACCCCAGTTTTGTTTACCACAATCTGGGCAAACTTCGGAGGAAGTCTCATCATGGGTTTTCTTGCGGAAGACCGCATGCTCTTCCGGCATGAATGGGGAACTCCAACATACGACGAACAATTAGCTCAGGCAAGAAGAGCAGAGGTAGATGAAGAAAGTGGCTCGAGTTCTTCCATGACTGTTATTGATCTCATCGCGGCGAAGAAAGCACACCTGTCAACCAAGAAAACAATCCCACTGTATATTGGATTGACAACTGGATTTTGCGGCAGCTTTACAAGCTTTTCAACTTTCATAAGAGATGTATTGCTGGCTCTATCAAACAATGAATTCGAATTGCCCACTACAGACCGATCTGGAGGTTACTCCTTCCTAGCAATGCTAGCAGTCATTATCACTACGGTCTGTTTGACATTATCAGCACTACATATTGGCGCACATTTGGCTATTGGAACGGAGAAATATATTCCTTCTCTCCCATTTCGTTTTGTTCGAAAGTTCTTGGACAGGGTCGTCGTCATTCTTGCATGGGGCGGCTGGGCTGGTGCTATTTTATTATCTATTATGCCACCAGACTTAAATTGGCGTGGCAAGGTAATCTTTGCGCTTGTATTCTCTCCTGTGGGATGTCTAGCTAGGTTCTATCTCGCGTTGTACCTCAACGGAAGACTATCATCGTTCCCTTTGGGGACATTCCTGGCCAATATCCTCGGTACTGCAGTTCTTGGCATGTCATGGGATATTGCTCACAGCGCCTCCGTAGGCAGCATAGTTGGGTGCCAGGTTTTACAGGGCATAGAAGATGGATTCTGTGGGTGCATCACCACAATCTCCACTTGGGTGGCGGAATTGAACAGTCTTCGCCGATTCCATTCGTACATTTATGGGACCGCGAGCGTGTTAGTATCTCTTGTCATGCTTGTTGCCATTATGGGAGGATTGCGTTGGACAGAAGGTTTCACATCTCCAATATGCAGCTGAAAAAGAGGCTTAGATAAGACATTACGGTCATGAGCAAATCATAAATATCCTTAATCCTTAAAAAGGTCTTATTTTCTCACCCTCAGCTGCAAAAGAATTCTTCTGAGAGAGTCTATTGCGGTTGGATGGCGGTTGATGTACTCTGCGAGTTACTCATGTTATAGACAGCTCAGAACCGCCATCTTTGAAGCTCGTTAGGTAAAAAAGTTCATGTTCTAGCTAAGTCAACCCACGGACGATAAATGAGAGGGAAGCCTTATTTGTTTGAGCTAAAGCAGTTGTCCACACGAAACTGTCTGAAAGTTCTATTATCTGTTCCAGCAATTATGATTATATGAATTTTGCGTGATTCCTTGGAAATGATATGGCTTGAAACCCCGGATTAAGGTTAGCCCCTCAATCTCTCGATAATTTTTCATCAATAATGTAACTCATTACACAAAAGACAATATGCAAAGACACGGAAAGGTATATCGGATATTAAGCGGAATACTAGTATTGTTTAATTTGATCTGTGTAACCTCACTCGCCTGGCATTATACTATATCTTTGCTGTTACTATGTAAAGCATGGTGGACAAATTAGGGTTATAACTTTCATTCTTTGTGCAGCAAGAGAGACTTAGGGTTTCTAAAGTTGGGCCGCATTGATGAAATACCACTTGTCTATGGGGCTCTCAATTGAGCCTGGAGATAGCTGTTGTTGAATAGGTAATTCGGGAATTAAACCCTGAGTAATATGAGTTACATAGCCAGGCGATCCCTCTATAGTTGTATTGGCGCTGCAAAATTAGCGTTTGTCCAAAATATGCTGTATTACGTGATAATGCTCACACGGCAATTCCATGACCTTGAGTCGAGATAAGGTGACACCAGGCATGAGAGCATTTCTCGATGACTCGATTAGCATAGCTGACGAAATTTTAGTACAAAAATGGAACTGAAATTTACAATAGGGGCACTGACGCCTTATTCTTGTACTCTCCGTTGAAGGAAAATTTGTTTGCGGGCTTTCCATCCGGCACCTTGTAAAGCCGAAACCACTCTTTTGTCGCTTGGAGAAGTCCAGGCATGTGAACCTCGACGTCTCCGATGTCATTAAACTCAGATGCCAAAGGGTCATTAATATCAATGGCAATAACCTTCCAGTCAGTATCCTCGCCATCTAGAAGAGCCAGGATGCCGAGGACTTTCACTTGCTTGACCTCTCCGGGATACCCAACTCTTTCTCCAATCTCGCAAACGTCCAGCGGGTCGTTGTCACCTTTTGCTTCAGTGTCAGGATGGGTAAAATTAGGGTCTTCCCATGTCTAGCCCAGCGAGGCTGATGTCAGTGACATTTGGAGTACGTTGTAGAAACATAAACTGACTTGAGGCAAGGCTCCATAGTTCCAAATATATCCTTTATAAGGGAAGCAGTTTCGGACATATCGAGGCTTGTTTCCTTGATTGTCTTGCTTGATGGGATTCAAAACCTCGTCTTTGGTGATCTTAGTGCTCGAAATATTATTAGAAGAAAAGAGACTTCGTATCACGATGATAATATTTTACTTTCTTCCCCAAAATAATTGCCAATACCGAACAATGGCCCTAAACAGCTTATTATATTCGGGACGACTCACCTCAAGCTTGTTATTTGTCCATCGAGGTATCTCGACGACCATATTGAGGACAGTCTCTCGAGAGTCACAATACAAAGGTATATCATGGAAAGATGAAATAGGGGTACCGTTTCGTGTAACATAAATACGATATTCCAATGTATTTGAGTTGCCAACCTTTAAAGTATCGTAGTGACAAATCATAGTTAACAGGGTAGTGGGAACAATTTGGTAGGAAGTATAAATATTGGCTGAACAAAGAGGGTACCTAGGTAAACTTCTCTAAAGAGAAAAGAGAAAAGCAGATTCAGGGTGTGATACTTCAAAGAGTTCATGGATAATCTAACTGCAGGCTTTCATTAGTACATCATGACTTATTGGCAACGGATGCTGTAGACAACATTATATTGATGACATCAGATTAGGTAACCTACGAGTATGGACGAATCAGAACTGAGCTTTCCTATCCCTCTCCTTTGGAAATTTTGGAAAAAGACTCAAGCACGCGCCCGATATTTCCATCAGCTCGGAAAGCGTAAGCATGGGTGGCGTAATAAACTGATGCTAATTGGACAAATAATACCGCTATTTCCATGATTCTTTCGTCTATAAAGACACAATACTCCAGAGAAAGCAAATAGCATGATATATATAAAGTTCCGCTTCTGAGTGATTGTGTCCATTAGTGAGGCATCTATCCTTGCCAATTTTTTGTGACGCCACTTTCTAGGATGTGTCCAAGAAAAATAATTTCGTAGGCGCAGATTACGCATTTGATATCATCCAATTTCCCACTTCCATCATTTGGCTTTCTATGCGATCCCCGAGCACTTGCTATTGTTCTCTTGTCTCACTTCTTAGAACCCAAGATTCCTAGGCATCCTCTACGTCTCGCTAGTCCACGTGTTACAGGCGGATACATTGTCAATTTATCCTAACAGCCCGTCGAAAATTCGGATATATCGGCGGAAGTTCACTGGCCGCCACAAACATTACCAACTTTGTCCGACATAGCCGAATTACTTTGAGCTATTAACATCGCTGGTATTGATAGCACGCTGTAGTCATGTTGAATATATAGAAAGCAGTCGATTAAGCATCAGGTCCTCATTTCTATTCCTGTCCCGTAATATAAACATTAATGCTCTTCACAGTTGAATCTTATTAATCATTATTGATGCATATCCGTCTGCATGAAACAGGGGTGCACGGTGTTCTGGCTAATCGATTTGGAGAATAGAGGAGGCGGGTGAAAGAGGTAGATTGCCTAGCTAACTTCGGCAATTATTTTGAAACCTTTTGGTAGTCTGCATTGTCAATTGACTAGTAAAGATGTCATAAACTGGGAAGAATGATATCAAATGTTACATCTAGTAAATTTGATCTTAGGGGTAGCTGTGCAACTCACTTGTCCCCATATCCAGCATGTTCCGCTTTATCCCTGCATTTGACCAACTTTGGCTTGGAGACTATTTGGTATGGTCGGTAATATCGGCACACTGATTTGGAGGGTGCCGGCTGTCTATGTTTGATGTTCCCAGTTCTTGCCATAGTGGTTACTTTGAGTCTAATAATACGTGTTTGCAAAACATGGAACGGAATTAAAACAGCTAAATGCGTCGTGGATTTTCCCCCAACCTTTGGGTAAGTTCAGATGCTTGAAGCTCCAGCCATTGTGGCGTAGCATGAAGCCAAGTGATGTCACAGATCGGGGTGATCTTTCTCTGAGTCCGAGCTGAGGATATAAGATGGAACGATGTACTAACATAGCAATAGTACTAGAAAATGGGTTCAGCTCTGGCTGCTATCTGAGAAAACAATTGCTAAGTGTACAGCAAACAGCATACCCGCAAACCATGGCACAATCAGAGAAACCTACTCTGAAAAAGAGGATTGATGCATTGGGAGAATACTGCGCGCTTCGTGAAGATTATCGCGGTCGCCTGCCGGGTTACCTATCTCGCTTCACTGGATACAAGCTACCAAATGCCCAGCCGCCATATGAGCCTTTAAGTTTCCCACCTTTTTCATGGCTAAAATACATTCCGCTCAAGTTAGAAGTTTACACTTTTACTTGGATAGGCTCATTCGGAGGTATTCTTCTCATTGAAGCAATTATGTCGGCAAATACAGCGTTTTCAGAAGTTTATCACGCACCAATTATTATTACCTCATTTGGCGCCTCGGCGGTATTGTTGTTTTCCGCTATCGAATCACCTCTTGCACAACCCCGAAACTTCGTCCTTGGCCATTTTGTATCCGCTCTCGTCGGCACATGCATTACCAGGCTCTTTGTCCTCAATCCAAACTACCACCGTTTTCTCGATGAAGGTGGTTTCCACGCCAATGTCTTCGTGAATGGTGGTTTATCAATGGCAACATCTGCTCTTGCGCAAGTTTTAATCGGAGCTGTACATCCACCGTAAGTTTACTGCTCTCCCTCCGAATGCCCTTTCTTTTGTGAGATTTAGGCGACTAAATGCCTACTTTGACTAGCGCCGGCGCAACTGGACTCAATGCTGCTGTTCAATCGCAAGTTGTCACACTTTCGTGGCGTTATCTGCCGGTTATACTTGCCTCTTCACTAATCATGCTTGGCTGGGCGCTTATAATAAACAATGTTGGACGTCGGCGTTATCCCGTTTTCTGGTGGAAGCCAGGTAAAGTGTTTGTTTCAGCAACAAAAGAACAGCAGATTAAGGAACGTGTGCGTGAGGCCAGGGAAGTAGAGATGGCCCTTAGAGTAGAGGAGGGAGCCACTTTGAGCGACGAAGGAGGCGAAACTAGTGGACACGAGCCGTGAGCCTGAAGAAGTCGCCAACTAGCCTTAGGGATAGGGAGTCTAGGATTCAGAGGAAAATTAAGAAAAGAAGAAGAAAGCCAAGGGCAAAAGAAAGGGGCTCTTGCGGATTTAAATAGGTTGTACAGATAACTTCTAAACTCCTGTACAATTTTGTAATATTTATTTGTTTTGAAAATTATATGATGTCTGCTTGGGGTAGAAATGTGTCTTGAGCCTTTACCCTAAGCCAAGACTTTCTAATGAAAAGGGCCTAATCGCAATGCAAAGCGTTTATGCTGGCATGTTAATGATTTGCCTGAATTGCCGTCGGGTAGGACAGAAGGTTTTGACATATGATCATGGCTGCCACGACCTTCAATTTATGAAGCTTTACTAGGCATTCGATTGATCAAATGTTGAAAACCTATCTCTATAGTCGACTAGGCATGAAACATACTCGACTCCTAGGTGAGCTTGCTAATTTTGCCACTAGCAAAGCGGAGTATGGGTAGGTCTCTTCATATGTTTGTGGCTTGTTTTCGCAAACCTTGCTCCTGTATAGACTGTACCTTATTTGGTGATGTAATACCACATGTCGAAAAGTATATGCTTAGATGGCTCTTTCGGAAATATATAACCGGTGTCACAACAAAAGCCTGTACTTGAGTAGCTGAAATATTGCCTGCGTTAATATTACTGCACAGGACTGGTTTGGATGTGAAAGGGGGAAATTAAATCATGACGGCTCATTGCGTTTTGTTATCCACATTCTTGTATATAATCAACACAGTAATGGTAACTAGTGCTAATACGATCATTTATGTCATACCCAACCACGGCTCAGAAGCGGGCAAATAGCTTTTGGAGGCATGCACCGACGAAACACCTAACGGTTTTGCTAAATTAAGTGGAAATTACCTGCAGAATAGTAAGATACATATATCGCTGATTACGTCTGTTATAATAGTGTAGCTAGTTTTCAACTCGTTATAGGTACGGCAAACTTAGCTGCGAATAAATCGAACATTTTTCCGAGCAATACGTACAATTATCGAAGAACTTAACAATCGTACTTGTAACGCTCCTATGTTGTAAAGTAAATTCGCTATTTGATTGGCATTCTACAAAAATTTTCACGTCGTAGAATGCCTGTGTAAGGGTAAACACCTCTAGACTGGAAGAGCGGCAATTATATTGCGTTCGAAGGTATGTATAATTACAATGAAATTCCGAAACGAATTGCGCATATTGCTGACCGACTATCTCAAAAACATCCTGACGCTCACACCCTGAGATGGAATTGGGCAAGCCAAGGCGATGTATTCGTACTGCCAAATGGCAGATCTAGTCACATAATAATGCAACCAGAAGGCAAACAGAGGCATGCTCTAGTTTTCCTCGGACTCTTCGAGCTGTTAGCTTCTACCGTTGCGATCTGGTCTCCACATGCATCTGGCGACCTCAATCCCCGATGCTCTTGCTCATATGCCCTCTCTGGTCTTCGATATTCCTCCAATGTCCTATGATGATACAATGACAACTCGTTGGGGTTTTCAACTGGTAATACAGGCGCTAATTCGCTAAGATGGCCCCAGCTATCTGGAATATTATATTCCACCTGGTCATGGCTGTGTCTTGTTGAGACCCGATGTGTATGCGCGACGGGTTGATCGTCGAGAACGCTGCCATCATCAGATATATGTTGATGTCGAATAGAGGAGGTAGCAGCAGGTATATGGCCAATGGTGCTTTTACAAGCCATGACTATTAGAGCTTGGGCATTCAGATTGTCCCTACAGGACGCTCTGGCAATTGCTATTAGCCGCCGAGTTTAGAATCAGGCAAAAAGACCTTGGTGTTACTTATAAGAATCTTCTTCGCAATTTTATAGAGTCGTTCAATAAAAGATCTTATAGGCCTCTGCATGGTGCAGAGTATATATTACTTTGACAAGTCAAGGCATTGCTGACGCCCTCAGCCAAAGCATAGTGGCCACACACCGATATCCTAGTGTCTGCAAAACAGCATAGCTACCAAACCGTGTCTTGGGATTTTACATGAACCAGTGGGGTGTCGGAATTACCGGGGATATTTTTAAAGGTCCAACCGCATCAAATAAAATGCCCCATTATATTTGTGCCTGTGTCATCCCTAAATCGGAAGAGCCCTTAGCCTTTCATTTTCAACGCAGAGTGATTTCGTATCGTCTCTAATGGTTATTCATAGGTAAAGATTCATATATAATATTATATGTATCCATGTTATTGCAGATGATCTATGTTGGAGAGTTAAAATTTGGACGAAAACTATGATAACTACGTAAGAACCGGTGATTGTTTAACCTTACGCACTCAACCACAACGCTTATTAGGCTCAGCTTAAATTTTTGACAAAGTTATACGATATCAAAACACAACACGATACCCAAACTATTTACCCTATTTCACACCATATTATGTGCCGCAGCTTGATACGTTGGAGGGGGGTCCATTACAAGGACGTCCAAAGATGCTTTCAAATACTATGAGGGGTCATGCGTGTTAGTTTCATTGACAGCAGTAAGAATGGTTTGAAGCATACCTGTATAGAGCTTTCCAAGCCATTAGATATACCAGCAATAACTTGGATTGCATAATCAATTTTAAGCAGGCAGGAATTTAATGACGGCCGGGATTGAGTAACAATAAATGTGCCCCACGCGCCTAGGTTCAGCTCAAAATGCTCTGACTTAATTTGCACCGCTCCATTCATAGTGTTTGCATGGCGGGTTTCTGTTATGTTTTGCCACGTAGGTTGTAAAAAGGCTGACATGGTGGTCTGCATTTGTATTTCTACGCTCCGGACGTAGATATCGGCCCCTTGCATTAACTCTCGCGGGGTATGGAGCATCAATCTCACCGGCGTCCCCCGTCCACGTATTAGGAGTGGTGGCTCTGGTAGAATTATCTCCATGTGCAAGGACGGAGAATATAAAGGCAGAGATTCATCAAGGTTGGGCCTAACAATGTCTCTGGAGCCACGTGTAAAGCTTTGTTTTAGCTTATCGGCGGAAAGTGCGACGGTACACGATGCTGCGAGGTCAATAATAATAGGGTTACAGCTGAACAAAAGCTCTCGTTGGACCCTTTTACGTTTGGTTATCTTCCCGAGGATACGTCGCTCCACTGCAGCAGATAACAAATAAGTCGATTTTATCCAGAGCTTCCCATTGTTGACAGACATTGACGACGGTAGCTGGCAGGTTTCATTACACGCACAATTGAGACCAGTCGGAAACTTGAACTCTATAGGACACAAATAGACACAGCCGTTAGGACTGTCATTGGCAGGGGATGGTTGCAAAATTTTGAGGTCCTCTGATTGTTCGAATAGCTAAACTATGCGTTAGTACCAGAGAAGACTGTTGTGATGATACGCCTACCATATAATTATACTCAGTGGGATAACAGGTGTTGAAGTCAGGGGAGGCTTTGACTTTCAGTCTACCTTTAATTGAAATGATTGTGAGCAAACAATCTTAGGAGCTTACTCTTTGGTACATTACTTACCCCATAACGTTGCTGTGATCCGCGGTAGATGTTTAAAAAAGCATCCCCGTATCTCTAATGTTCCTCGCAATGAATCCCCTGGACGAAATGAAGGTGGACTGAATTCATGGTCTATTGTCAGTGCCAGCTTCATTGCTACAGTAGCAAACTAGGGCGACCGAGATATTGAAGGTGATGTTGTCTCCTATTGAATGAAAATCGTGATTTTTGTTTCCGCTCAAGCAATTGCAATCATGGAGAGCGAAATTTACTCCTCTATCGAGGTAGTGTTTACCTATGACTTCTGTTTAGCATTTAGAACCACCGCCGCCGGCTATACCGGATATACAGGTAGGTCGAAGCTTCTTAGATGAGTGGATACAAACGTGGCTCTTCCCGCTTGAGATAAATTTTTAGTAAAGACATCATAACTCAATCCCCCCCTGGTGTGGAGCATGGTTGAATCATCATTGTTATCATCATCATCATGATGACCTGACTTTCGAATGACTTTTTTTTCTCTGGTATCACCTGTAAAGCATCAAAGAAACCACGCGCTGCTATATTTTATTGATCCTAGCGGGAGGGGTTCGTGGAGTGGTTCCGGAAATACCGCGTCAAAGCAAACTAGTACATCTACTGGGGCAAGAATAGTAATTTCACTCAGAATTGAACGAAAGCTTGCTCATTCCAGGTTAATCATCCAGCTAATAAGCAATGAGCCAGGAATAGAAGGTAGTTAATCTTTACGCGTACTGCGATTTGTCTACTTCTACTAACTAGAGAATACCAAAGTGGCTTTTATCTCCCTTGGTATAATACCGCTACATGTAATGGCAATCTTGGGTAATGCATGAGCTGACACCTTTGTAACATGGACGGTTGTTTGACAGTGCGATCGACAGCTAACCCCTTTACTTTTCGTCCTGGATCGCGTGGTCTATCAGTCGGCGGAAATGGGTTGGAATCAAAATTGAGAATCGGCTTTAATATTCGTGAGACTTTCAATGATTGTCCATGCCATCATAACATTACCAAATATTGGTTCGTTTACTAACCCCGGCCATATTATTCGTCTCGTACATCATCCGTCGTGTGCGCACAATGAGGGGCGGCGGGCAGCAATGTGGCGGGGATGACGTTAACGCCGTACTATTCAGCCACGCTTTGACAACGGCCTAGTCCTAACACTTGATCCATTGGCCAAGCCTGTATGCCGGTATTTCCGCTTGGGTTAAGCCAGGGTCAGGTGAATAAACTACCTACGTATCCGTAGATCGGAAGCACATGATCCATATGCTGGACGAACTACAACAAATGATTAAAACGCTCCGACAGATATATCAGTTCTAAATTGTTCGTTCACTATTCAAGCAAGCGCTACACAGGTATGCACTTTGCGTATTAGGAACGAAAGGCTATGAAACATAGCACACCGAATTTTGTTTCTTCCGATATATCCGACCGGCAATAGGGAAACTTCTTGAACTTCTATCCTTCTCAAAGGCACTGTACCGAAAGATAAACGAGAGAACCCGCAAATCATGGATACCGAATATAAGCGTAAGCGGGTTGCCAAAGCCTGTCAGAGATGCAGGTCCATGAAGTCAAAGGTAAGGGGTTCGGGTGCAGCGGCCTATTACTTCCATGATTGATAATTTGACTATAGTGCGACGGACAACGACCGGCATGCAGTAGATGTCGGGGTTACGGGTACACCTGCGCTTACCGCTTGCAGCGGCCACGACTACGGGCTGGAACAGATGATCGCTTCAGTCATAGCATTTCCGAGAGATTACCGGACTTGTGCGATGCAATACACCAACAAGAAAGATTACTGGATCATGCCATTTCTCTCCTTCCGTCTGGTTCGGAACAAGAAGCGGTCCTGCTGAAGAGTTCGAGTGTCAAATCGCAGCTTGATAACGCCATCTGCAGCATGAAGGTTGAAGTTTTGCCACATGCAGCGGCCAGCGAATCTCGTAGCAAATCAACCCCCTCTAGCTGCGTCGATCGGCCTCCAGGTTACTTGGGCGAGGTCAGTGATATTCGTTTTGTTAACCTTGTGAAAAGGTTTCTGCAAATCCAAGACGGAACAGCAATGACGCAAAAAGATTTCGAAAGCTATGACCAAGGCGAGAATCTAGTACCCTCCAACGAGGTCCCTTGTCCGACAATCCTGCTGCCAGCCTTCGAGGAAGCTAAACATTATATTGATGCGTATTTTACAACTATTCATATCGCTTACCCCTTCATACCTGAATCGCCTTTCATAAAAATATATAAAACTATTAGAGACAATGACAGTCCCAAGGCCCAGAGCTGTAACAGCAACATCGAGACAGCGCTATTATGTAAGCCATGTCCCCTTGAATTCTGATGAGCCGCTCACTGATTATTCAGATACAATATGTGCAATTGGGGCTTATTATAGGACCTTACCTGGCAAAGAAGAATCTATAGATACGCTATATGAGAAATTGTATTCATACGCTTTAACGTTAGCGCCAGCTTCCAATATGGAACGCTCGCTCGCTCAGGTCTCACTCCTTTTAGCAAGATGTTTTTACCTTCTGGTTGTGTGCAGGACAGAAAGGTGAGCCCCATACGTTAGCCAGGCTATGCGAAAATGTATTAACAATCATTATAGCTGTTGGACAATACTTGGCCAAGCAGTTCGTGTCGCTCAAAGCATTGGACTGCACATAGAAAGTGAGGAATCAGACAATACGAAAACTATACACTCTCCAGAGATTGAGAAGCGACGCCGTGTGTGGTATTCCATCTATGTATTGGATCGACTTCTCTCCTTACAGCTTGGTCGACCTCCAGCCATCCATGATGATGATTTCAATGTCCCATTGCCAGCCCGCGCTAGCGATTCCGAGATTGATTGGACTGGCGAAGGTGTCGAAGAGAGAAGTAGTAATAGTCCATCATCAGGAGACTATTTTCTTGCGGTAATCGCATTCTCGGCAATCGTTGGCCGAGTCCTCCGGAGTCTATATTGCCCTAGGCGAAGCCATTTTGCCTCGGAAGATCTTCTTAGCACAAAAGATCTCGATCGGCAACTCATAGACTGGAAAATATCCCTCCCAAGAGCCCTTCGTTTTGATTTAGGTCATACATTTGAGCAATCATATATCTTGAAGAGACAGGCAAGGTTTTCCCTTCTTCTTCGGTATAGCCCCAGACACTCATGCAGTCCTTGATATCTAACTATTGGCAGCGAAACATGCTAGCTATAAAGTATCATCATCTTAGGGCTCTCATCTACCGCCCGTATCTCTGCCATCCGCTTCTGATACACCTTGGTGATCCCAATGCAACTATTAGCCAGCTAGATTGGCCACCAATACGCGCATATGAGAGAACATGTATTTCAGAAGCACGAGAGACGGCACGGTTGCTGCATGGGATCTCTAGCAAAGAGGAGCTAGTTCATGGATTCCCGTGGTGGCAGATGATATCATGTTTAGTATGCGCCAGCTCTATCTTGCTTGTGTCAAGCATATTTGCGGAGTCAACGCTTGAATTATCATCTGAATTTGATACTGCTGGATTGTCTGATGATGCAGAAACATGTCTTAAAGTTTTTGATGCCCTGAGCGTTAACTCACCAGGAGCGAGAATCGCTAGAGATATGATGAAAACTTTGAAAGAGTGCGGCGTGAGGTGGAGTAAGTACATCACCTGTTCAACTGAAGATACATGCTAACGATTTGCAGAAGACGCCAGTGGTGGCACCCCCAGAGACGTTCAGGAGGGTGCAAAAACATTTAATAATTCCCCAAGCTTTCAGAGCCAACTCCCTCATCTAAATACAATAGCAACTTCACTATATACTGGCGATTACGGGCAACATATGCCCATATCTGGCAACCTGATGCCAACAAGCTGCTGGCCCGCGGAAATTGTTGACTCTATGGCATGGTCGGCGCAGTTTTTTGACTTTGGTCACGGAAGGTCGAACCATACGGAAGGCTTGGGACAAGCGCAGCATGAAAACAATAAAGATCTCTAGGTGTAGTATCACAGAAAAATTGATGGAAAATACCCAGACTTACATTACATACGGGGTAGCTCTTAGGCAATAAATTCAATCTAAGTTTATATTAATAATAGAATGTAAAGAGTTTTTAAACCATATAGTCGCATAGTAATATTTAAAGTTACATAAATATTACATTACTTTTTTTCCATTTTTTAATTTTCCTAGTTTGAGCAATAGCATGGAGCGCCTGGTCTTCCTGAGGAAAAAGCATTTCATTCAAATTGGCAACTTCAATTCCCAAACAAACAGCCCCAAACCTTGTTATCTCTGTACGGTACGTTTTATTAAAGGGCGATTATAGCAATAGCACTTTTTGACTTTACTAATCCTGTAATAATCTACTATAAAAAAGGATAAAAGATTAGACAAATTGTAGCAATTGTGGCAATTACTATAACGGATCTAGCTTACAGGGGTTTCAACTGCTACAGGGAACCAAGTTGCAACAAGTCCTTCCCCCTTTGTGCCTTAACCAACAAAGTCGCGGATTATTAATAAGTTAAATGCTTTCCTGGCAAATACTTTAAATTTATTGTCGTGAAATTCGATAATACGCCTAGATGCAGCGTAAATGCCACTAAAGAACTATTAAGTCGGGACACATTGTTGGTTATGTAATCTCGTGCGACTGTTAAGACAAGCATTATTATATTAAACTTCTTTGCAACATTCATAGCCCGTTTCAACAAAATATGAAAATATGTTACACCAAGAGAATTGGAAAAAAAATATTAATCCAATTCAGATACTATATCCAACAGTATTCACCCTTGTTAAAATTAAGTCTGTATAGTTTGCTTAGTGGATGTTAAAACAAGACAATTTAAGGATTCAAGCAACTTACTCTAAGAATTGATGATTGCTTTTGGACAGCTGGAAGCCTGGTTATTTTTAAGGTTGCGAAGCATTATAATTTCCCGCCTGCCATCGGGAGTCTCATCGCCGGGCTCGTCAGATACACTGAAGCTGTTGCGTTGGTACACTGATTGTGCGGTGGCATTGTCCGGTCGCACTGCGAGTCGAAGTTCGCTGAATCCAGACTGTATGGCCCAGCTCACAATTTTTCCAATAAGAGAAGAGGCGAGTCCTCTGCCCCGAAACCTAGGATCTACCCACATTGAGATAATCTCAGCCCCCCCGTACCCCGTCGGGACCCCCGTTGCCATTCCAACCGCGCGCTCGTCACCGTTTTCGTTAATCTCGTGTACTACGAGGTCAATTGCATCTGGTATTGAGAGTCTGCCACGCCATCGAGCCTCTGGAGCGTCGACCCAGTCGTTGAATCTAGAACCAAAGGCATCAGGCGCATTTGCAAGAGCTGCCAGGCGCACAACTCTCCATGCCTCCCAATCGTCAGCCGACAGGGTGCGCAATTGAAACATTTGGGTTAACATTACTGTATAGAGATTACCATACAGTACCCCAGCTGAAATTAAACAGATAATAAAAGAGCCCAGACGCACCAGATTTTTAACCGCTCAAGACGAGAAGGCCGGAGGTGTTACAAGTGACTCATTTTTTTTTTTACCAAGATTCTATTATAGCGCGCAGGTTTAGCTAGACTATATATGGCTTTAATAGTGTAGCTAGCGCCAGGTATTACATTGTTATATTAAGCAATATTGCTCAGAGTTTAAACAATAAAATATAATATTATAGTTCAATAATGTATGGTATAAATATTTACTATTTTAATAGTATGTTGATTTCAAACATACTTACCCTTTAATATATAGTCCTTCAAACTCCTTGCTTGGGATGATTTGGGTAATATTCTTGCCAGCAAAGTCAATCCCAGTTTCAGGCTTAGCGCTAGTAATTTTGAATTTTGCGCTGTTACTCATAGCAACCGGCGGCGTATCATCGAATCGGTTAGCACAAGAGCCACCGGCGATGATCTTGTCGCCCAAGTAGCCTTGATATGTGGCATACTGGTGGAAAATGGCATTCCAGTTTGGTTCGATATTGCCAATGCCACCAGGAACGGCTTTATCATAAACTCCTACCATGCCGGTCTCAGCAAAATTTTCCATCCAATTTGTCCGACCATATCCTGTGGGAGTGGCAGAGTCCTGATTATAATTGTCTTGCCAGATAGACGACGAGCTGAATGGTTGCTGGTATTGAGGCAGAGCATGCCAGTCAAGACTGTGGGAAACTTCATGGACTAAAGTTGCTAAGTTCGGAGCGCTCTCTACAACACAATCACCAGAGGACCAAGTCCACGCCGCGGCGCCATCATTAAGACCGGGAGTGGCTACCAAATGGCTGAAATGCAAGTGTCAGCACTGAAGACACTGCAGCACAGGTAGGTAATATATAACTCACCGTAGGTACGAGCGCATGCGGACTGGTAGTCGGCCAAATATGTCGATCATATCTATTTCAGAAGCTCCAGCGTTTTTGTGACGACAAAACGTCCAAGATGCACTGCAGTCAGTGTAATGGACATTGAATATGGTGAAATCCGCAGGGTTTAGGTGGTATGTGTTTGCCAAGTCCTTGCAGCCCTGGGGAATCCAACCCGCTCCCCAATAGTCCCATGTTGACTGGGTTGGGTGAAGATTGTTACGGAGGTCGTTTTCCAATCGATCATATGGAATGTGGGGGTTAACTTCTGGCTTGTCAGGATTACCAGCTGCAGCCAGTGTTATGCCAAGAGAGACGGCAACAGCAATGGATTGACCACGCATTGTGAATTATTGATAAATAGCTTAGGGACACGAAGAACTAAGAAGCAGTGATGGTCTGATATAGAAACCTATGAGCTGCCCCGAAGATGCTTTATATATTGATTCAGAACGGAAGCTTTCTCGGCTTTTATATAAGCGTGCCCGCTCGAGCCGCTGTCTCGAGGGCCCTTGCTTGGAAACATGGTACGAATAAGGTTATTGAAACACTACTATGCCACTATGCTTTACATGTCTCCCAGGATAACCCATGCTTGAACTACGATAACAAGTGCTTCAGGTAGTAATTCTGTCCAAGGGACTACAAGTAAATTGCTGCCTTAAGGTCTTTCCCTACCAGTTCTTTTTTTATCCCTGTTAATAAGAGAGAGTCTATAGCATAAAAGTATACCTAGCTACTTTTAAAGAGCCGAGTTTAACCTCTTTCCTTTTAAACTTAAAGGTTTCTCCACATATCAAGCTTATAATATAAACAAGCATAATTTATCGTATGGCACAGCATTGAAATAATGCTCTAATAGGCAGGAAAATAGAAACACTGGCGGGCGCTGTGCCAGTAGGGAGTTACAAAGAGAATAAACTTATACTTATTTCTAACTAGTGCAATCCTATTGATTACGAAGGATCGAAGGATCGAAGGATTCGACAGCATTGAGCAAATCTAGCGCAGTTGCCTAAACTACAGGACTACCTTACTTTGTTTTGAGAATGACTTCGAGGCGCTTGAGATTCAGGGGCAAGAAGCAGAGCCATCAAGCCCCAGTTTAAAACCAGTTATGGTGCAAATATAGTATATAAATATACCTATTAATATTGTTAGAGCGCTTTATACTCATTCTCTAGATTGCAATAAAAAATTATGCAAAGGTAAAGAAGTGTACCAGTCTAAAGCCCTAATGGACAAATAAATACACAGCTTCTTATTTAGCTTTAGAACGTAGTAACTTCAGGGTTACGAAAAAAGAAGGTAGTAGTAGCATAGCTCAGATACCTGCCTAAACGATTAATTGCATAGCCTTTTATTGCTACTCTTTCTGGGCTCTAAAAGGATTTACAAATGCTTGTTTCTTGATCTATTCTAAAATCTTAGGAATATAAGTATGTAATATTGCTTATTGAATGGGGTGCTCGCTGCTTATAAATTAATAACGCTTCCTTTTTAGAATTGCTTTCAGCAGCTTGCCTGTAGGGTAGAATACTTTATTTATAAATTTAGAAGCAGGAAGAACTAAGTTATTTGATGATTTTTTTTTCGTCAGTAGCTAATCTATGCACCACTCTTGCTAATGTAACTATCTTGTCCGAACGTATATATTTCTTTCTATAGATACAGTATCCTTTCTCTCTTTTCTCCTCTGCGGTCTCCTATTTCTTTCTTTTTTTTCTTTTTTTCTTTTCTCGAGTGAGGTGTGCTGCTTTACTTTCCATGTCTCACTAGTATCATTGCGTGTATTCTAGTAACGATTTCTTCCCGCTGGCTTTATAATATCCTTGAAACTCCTTGCAGACTCGGGCGCAGGTAGACATCATTCTATTCAGTTGCCGAATCCGGATTAACTATCAGAAGAATATGAAGTACATTGATCACCCGAATTCCTCCCGGCAGTTAGAAGGAGAATACCTCTTCCAAGCACACCGAGTACCCTTTCTTTTTAAGGAGAGTTATAACAACATGATATGATCATAAAAAGGATTATTATTGACAAATCGCTTCCAGTAGTTGTAACCTACATGATGGCAGCAACTAAGAAATTTATGAAATCTTCAATATATAAACTAGGGTAATTATCTAGAAGCAGCTTACTCATTTTCAATTTTTTATTTAAGAACGGCCCTGAATTTGTCCATTTAAGGAATTTCGTCCATTTCGAACGGTTATTCCCCTTTGTTATTGTAATTAAAGCTATATATGTGCTGTTAGACTTACAAAATAAACCATGGACTTGACCATCTTGTTCCAGGCTTGGCCAATACTATTGTATTGATTGCAGTCGATCCCTGCTATTAATGCTGGCCATTCGAAACCTTTACAAATTCGATCTTTTAAGACAAAATTTGGCTCTTGAGTGAGTAATTGTGAATATTTGCCAAACAACAATGAAAAGAAGAGCTGAAAGATTACGTAGCTATGACTTGTGTGGCTTAAGAAGAGGGAGTTTGCGTGGTGGCGAAGCAGTGCGAGCGTCGAGAATCGAACTATCTAGACTTTCCCCGCACGATAAACACTACCTTGGAGCGTGAACTAATATGCTGTGCATAAAAGGTTATATATAAATAGTACTATTGAGAGCGAATACAATTGGTGTTTCATTATCTCAACTTCAGAAATGGTTAGTATCATTGCTGATATAGTTTCGTAGCATATAAATAAGCCTTGTTCCCTTGTTTAAGTCTACATTAATCTACCTCTGAACAACTCTAGTCAATCTAATTAAGATGGTCAACATTTACTTACATTTCTAAGTTATCAGAATGCCATCAGGAAGCTGCTGGTGCGGCGATGTCAAGTATGAGTTTATCGGGGACTCTACACATGTGGTAATCACAGCAATGAGCAAATAGGTTAATGTTGTTATACTGACCATAATCGCAGGTTTTGTGCCACTGCCTATCATGCCAAAAAATAAGTGGTGGGACAAATACCGCTAATATTCCTGTCGCGCGTGAGAAGCTCACTGTAATTTCTGGAGCACCAAAATCTCATACTCAAAAACATGAAGATGGGTTTAATTTAACAGTATTCTTTTGTGGCAATTGTGGTACTGTTATTTACAAAAAGGCGGATGCAGATATGTTTGCCACTATCTCTTTGATCCAATCAGGAACACTGGATGGATCTGCCAAGGAGAAGATTGGCAAACCATCATCGGAGTTGAATGTGAAATTGAGGGCATCCTGGTTAGCAGAAGTTAGTACCGCTGTTCAGAAACAGGGATTTGTTTAAATGTATAGCATAATTGTAGGTGATTGAGAAACACGGGTACAAAACAAGTTAACCTAACATTCAGAATAATATTCACTGATCAAAATATATTGTTATATACTGAAATAATGGCATAACAAGCTCTATCAAGGTCCTTAAGCTCAGTTCATTGAAAGTCGTTTCACCTAAAGAGTCATCACCAACCAACGCTGGTTACAAGCTTGTAGACTTAATGCCTGCAGAGCCTGGGTTCAAATATTGCAAAAACCAGCAGCTTTTCCCAGTAATACTACCGTCTGTTCCTAAACACTTCCATAGGGCTATTAATTGTCTCGCAAACTGGACGATAAATCCGAATTAAAAATGTAGCGGCCTTCTACTCACTCGAAAGTCAGAACCCATTCCACAGGGAAATTGCTGACCAATTTGGGTGGCGTTGCCGTCTTACCCAGAACAAAATCGGAAGCATAGTCTACCGCCCGTCAATTTACTACCGCTATTACCTTGACCTGACCTGGAAGAAAGTGGAAGAAAAGTCCAACAAAATTGTCCCTCCGTATCCCGTGAGATAGATGGGTACTCTACAAACTCCTTCTCTTTATTCTTTTTTTAATTCTTTTTCCTCTTACCCGCTCCCTTGGCTCCTTCATTCTTTAGAAAGTAGCCTGAAAAATTCGCATAGGCCGGAGGATAAGACCTGGGCTATTTAGTGATGTACCTGCGGTAACGGCACCGCCTGCCCAGTCACTCCCGCAACAGGAACGACTTTCGACTGTACTTCACAGTGCATGAGAGGCACTCAGCAAAAGAAATAATTCTCTTTGAGTTGTGCAAAGTAATTTGCCTTGACTACATCACCAAAACATTCTAGAGACATCAAAACCCAGTGTCGAACGTCGGTAGTTTGCGTAGTACGTAGATTGCGTAGCTTCAATGCATTTGCAACACCACCTGTCTGCACCTGTAGCGCGCTAGACCTCATTAGCATTGAGCTCGGACACTAGAGTGTATGCATATTAGCTACTTGCATGTACCTATGGTTCGGAATTTGGCGCGATTCAGTTGTTTTTCATGCTAGGTGTAGCCATACTGCGCAGCGGGCATACAACACCAAATCTTCGTGAGTGAGTGCGTCCCAGCGGCGTGGTCCTAAGCTGTGATGACGACTGTTTTAGGCCATAATCACTCTATATTGGCATCCAAGAGAATGTCAGATCACACATATCATATCATTTTCAGGTCTAGTACGTAGGAGAGTCGTGTATGTATTAGAACCAAGCAAATTTTAAGCTATTTCAGAGAAAGATAATAATTCCCTTCACTAAATAGCATTGCATTGCACATCTAGAGCGCTCCGAATGTCTTTCAGACTGTACCCACTTATGATAGGGTCAGGCTTGCTCGAGCCAAATGCTCCGTATTGGTACGAGTTGCCGAGGCCAAAGCTGGCAGACTCCCACCCGCTATTCTTGGTATACCAAAAGGATCATGATGGCCTCTCGTCTCCGAGTAAGACCTTGGTCCGCGTCATGCGTTGCAATGTCCGCGCAAAAGTAACACGTATGAGCTAGGAATATTCGCTGTAGCTTTTGAGAAAGTATCCAGTGCCGGGTAGCATCTATAAAAACACCCCAACCCGATTTGCTATAGTTCGCGCAAATGCTTGAGGGCATGGCCTTGCCAGCCGATTTCATTGCCAGAGATATTAGGGAAAATAATTTGCTCCATGGGTCTGTATATCTGAGCTCTGCGCTTGTGACATGGCTTCCAAGTCAAAGCCTCTCTTCCTATAACAAGTAAAATCACCTTCCAGAAATTCGACTTTAAAATACGCGATATGGCCTTTATCATGATTATATGGCTATACTCTGGAGTATTCGCTCTCCCGGCGTGAGTTAACCTGGAGCAGGGCGCCTACGGTGTCAGCGCACCGTAGTGAGCGATAGCCTCCCGGGAAACAATTATCTCCTACACTACCCATGCTTGGCCAAACAAAGGCGCAGCACTGTGTGACCGCTGTGTAAATAGAAGAAACTGTGTAAATAGAAGAAAAAAGGAGAAGAGGAAGAAGAGGAAGAGGAAGAAGAGGAAGAAGAGGAAGAAGAGGAAGAAGAGGAAGAAGAGGAAGAAGAGGAAGAAGAAAATCTCGATTCTCCTTGTTCTTTTTTTCTACCAGATGATAAGGATCCAAAAGTTCCGACTTGGATAAGGATTATCGTGCGGTATCCGCGAACGCATCATAGAAGCGCTGGGTATAATCGAATGTTATTTGCGTAACATTAGGTTCGTTCTGGAGTCGGGGTCGGCCTTGGACTGGTGTAGTGCAAAATTCTGGAAAGACACTAAAGAAAAAGATTTATTAATATAAACTAGACAGTCTAGTTTAGGATTATCTCTAATGATTTAATTAATTCTAGAAATATGAATCTTTAGTGTATCATAAGCTATGTAGCTTCCCTGTGCAGCATATAATAGAATTAGATGCTATCAAAAATTCCATGTAAATGCTGCAATTCCCGCTGCACAATATGCCTCCTTCGCACAAGATCTAAAATAATATGTACATGCACCCACTCTAGTCTGTTAAAATAAGGAGTGGTGATGTAGCTGTAGCCGAGGGCGGGGGGAGTATCGGAACAGTCGTGGTGTACAAACCCTGCTGCTCGCAGGTGCAGACTGTATATCACATAATATTAGCAAGAGCAGCTTAGGGTAGGATAGGTATAGCTTGATATAAAAGAAGAAAGAGGAAATAAAACGTACGGGCAGAGACGGAATTTAATACGTCAATGGCACCCCCGAACCCACACCCGCCGATGATGCAGTTGGCTGCCGCACCCTGAATAACAGCCTGGTTTTGATCTTGACATTGACAGATAATATCACTTGCTCCACAGCCGGCTTGCGTCACAGCAGCTGAACTAAGGCACGAGCTTGCACATGAATAAATTGCGCTCAGGCTGGCGTCGCAGGATGCTGGCCAGGTCGTGATGGTTGTGTAAGAGAGAGAAGTCGTTGTGATGGCAGGGGGAACAGTTGTGGAACTGGGGACAGAGGTGGGGCTTAGGGAGCTGGAGCTAGAGCTGCTCCCAAGCACGGTGGTCTCCGAGGTACTATTTGTGATGGGGCGTTAGCAAACTCCGAATCGATGTGACCAATCTTGTGCTTTAGTGTAGTGATACAGCTAAGGGCTAAGAATGACTCCGAACATATACGTACATTGTAACAATAACCGTGGCCGTCGACCTAGGTTTGCCAGTCCAGTCAGTAGGGGTTTGTTATCCGAATGCGATGAGATTGAACTCACAGCTTCGTTCTCCAAAGGGTCTGCGACGCCTTTGTAACAGTCGGGGCAGTTATCGTAGAAGTAAACGTCGAAGCGGTGGCAAGATAGCTTCCTGAGAAGCAAGAGCATCCATGCGATGCGGACGATGGGTTAGGGTTCAACGCTCTGATGCAGTTTGGCGCCGGGCAGTACTTCTTTCTCTCCCTCTTCTCCGGGGGCGAGGAGGTTAGTATCTCGGCCGCTGTCGAGCTCGGGCTGACCGTTAGTAACACTATAGATGTATCAGTCACCGTTTCGATATCTGTAGTCACGTCCGTGGCAGTGACGAAGCTTCGCTGCATTGTTAGCTTTGGACGGCGTGTGGTAACATATTGTTGAGAGTTTAGGGGCTAGCAAGCGTACGAAGTGGGTGTGACTGTAACAGTCACGGTCGGCAGAGAGATCAGTACGTTCGCCGAAGAACTGCAGAAAGGAATTGCGATACTGGGGCTGGCGATGAGGCACCGAAGAAGGTTGTCGTGGGGGCAGTTGTCCCGGACCTCGATGTCCTCGCCCAGTTGGATTCCAGGCGCAGCCAAGACGGCTGTAGCGTCAAATGCTAGGAGGGAGAGATATTGACGCTTCATGGCGGGTTACCGTGCAAGCCAAATCCCGTTGGGTCACTTGTTCGATACGTTGCGTCTGTGTAGAAGACGATGGTATGACAGCTGAAGTGGCGGCATCTCTCTCTTTAATGTAGCCGCTGCAAAACCCCCGGCCCTAGCAAGATATTGAAGCTATGCATTGAACCCATGCTTAGGCTCTCCACCAGACTTTTGGGGGCTACCTACCAAATACGCCATTCGCAACTGCTAGCACTCGTATGATCGAGGACTTTTAAAATCTTCAGACGCGATATTCAAGAGGTCTTACATAAAAAACAAATCTGTTCTGGCTCGTAGATTCAAACAGCTAGTAGATTTATTATTACAAAGTAAAGTTAGAGCAATACATGCAACGCTGTCGTGCTCGACGCCTCAACTACCGAGGGGGTCCTTCATCGTTCCGTAGCGGTCCACAAAGTTTTCAGCTGGCTCCGTGCATCTGCACTATTGGGTTGGCAGCTCCATCGTTCCAGGGGTATAGTGCTGGCGCCTAGTGTAGTCTTATCTGAGCCGCCATAGCATGCTTGGCAAGTGGGGAACAGAAAGACAGGGATAGCAAAATGAATACGTACGTACAAAGTTTCATCATGAGCACCTTTATCACCAAATAATATTGATATTGTGTGTGTATAACCTTGGCGTGTGTGTTCAAAATTCTCCCATTCCCTGTTTTGCTGTCCCCCGCTTGCTTGGGTACTCTCGAATCTGGTTCAGCTGATGCCCCGGCCGAATCGGCACCTGCCGCGGCGAACACTGGTATTAGCATACTTTTTACAACGCCGATCCTGCTGCTAACAGCCGCGGATCCGATGCCCGGAAGCGAAGTTTGGTGATAAACCAGACTAGAAAAGAAGGCTGTTAGTGCATAGGAAAGGTCGCAAAAAAAAATTGAGGATGAGTGCAATTGGAATATGCTAGCACCCCGAGATTGGCAAATAATTATTGACTTTGCAACCATTCGATCATGCCGGGGCCAGAGCGTCGCAGTTTCACTTACAGCCCCGTCTAAACAATGGCTTTTGAATGCGATACCTGTAAATAAAATCATGTTTTAGGTTTAATTTTCTTAAGACTATGTTTAATAAACCCTATCTATGCTAAGTATATGCCATAGATTTATACTTCGTTATTTATACGCTTTCTCAGAGTATTTCCGGCCTTTAGGTTGCTTTGCTTTGCTTCAGTTGAGGTCTCATATTTACTCCAATTTCGCATAGGTACCTTCTTGTCGTACATTTCATCAATTTCTGCATAAGTTCGGCCTTTAGTTTCAGGCATAAGCATGTAACTCCAGACAATCACACAGGCCATACAGCCAGCGAAGACAAGATAGGTCTTAGCGCCAAGGTTAGCTGCATCGGCTGATGTTAGCTGAGGCACGGCGAAAGTTGTGATGACAGCTGTTGTCTGACAACATGCCACGGTATAAGCCATTGTGTGAGACCGCAGCTTCGGCGTTGAGATCTCAGGCGGAAGCAGCACTGAGACAGAGAGAAAGGATAATGCCCAGACAAAGTTGAAGATGAATCCCAACGCGGCAATTGTCAACAGGGCGTTTCTGTTATCGGGAAAGAATGCCAGTGCTCCAGCTACGGCATCGAGGCAGAAGAGAAACATCATCCCCCACAATGCTGTTGGGCGGCGCCCGTAAAGGTCGAGAACCATGGGCGCAACGACAGCTCCGGCCAGATTACAGAGAGAAGCTATAATCGTAAGCACAAACGCATTACCCACGCCCAACTGGCTGAGGAAGACGGTAGTATATGTGGTCGATAGAATCACGCCCGAGACCTGGTTAAGCGAATAGAACGACCCAGCGGTGATTGTCCTCTTAAAGTTCTCCCGATTGAAAAGGTCCCAGAAATGCACGTTCGATGTCAGCTCGCGTTCATTTTCCTCACAGAGAACAATAACGCGGAACTCATCCTCTAACTGGAAGTCAGAAAAGCCACGCAGCCGTCGCAAGTTCTTCTTAGCCTCCCCCATTCGACCCTTGGACACGAGCCATTGAGGGCTCTCAGGAATACCAAGAGTCAAGACAAACAGCAACGCAGGAAGACCAGCTTCGATGGACAGGGGAATTTGATAAGCCTTAGGTCCATCGATCGCGTGGGTGGCGTTTGAGACAATAGTAGCAATGACACCAGAAAATATATTGAGAATGTTGTAGATCTGCACGCTCCGACCTCTCATTGATGCAGGCACAACTTCGCAAAGATATAGTGGTGCGATAGTGTGTGCAATTCCAATAACAAAGGCACTGCAGAAACGTCCGATGACGAAGGCTGTCAAGTTTGGTGCAAAGACTTGTAAGAAGGCTCCCAATAGTGAGAAGACGTATGACCCAATAAGTGTCCACTTCCGGCCAAAGCGATTGGTCAAGAGTGTTGTGGCGAGGCCACCAATGACTGATCCAACTAGAGGGACAGAGAAAACCAGATCCTGATTGCGTGCTGTCAGGGAAAGGTTTTCGTTGCTAGGGCCGGCATAGCCTTGAAGTAACCTCACCTAGGGTATCAGTTAGCAGGAAAGTAACAACTCGCAATTCCAAGTTCAAGCGTAAAAAAAATATATGGTATTGAGGTTGGGGACTTACAAAGGCTGGTGTTGCAGCCACAGGTGAGATAACTCTATCATCATAGCCGAACAAGAAGGATGAGGCACCAAAAGCAAGACACGACAAGACTAACATCAAATTGACCGCTCCCTCGTCTGGCCGCATGCCAGGGGCCAAGCCGTCGGCGGCTGGTATTTCCTCAACATTACACGTCTCAAGTTTGGGCTCTGCTGCCGCCTCGTCGTTCTTGTTGGTAGTCATTGTACTTCCTTCTCGAGAACAATCCTTAATGTTTTCTGGCCACCAAGACCAATTTTTGCCAGCTATTAGCAAAGAAATGGATTAAATGCTTTCAAATCTAGGGTAAGCAAACCCAAAGCGGCGATTGTAGTTTGCACTGAGTATCTAGGTGAGTTGTATATTCCTTATAGGTATATTTATATTTGGGCATCTCTCCTAGCCTCCAGACTGCGTATCTGGTATTAATGTCAGGAGGCGGCGACTGGACCTTGTCACCCCAGATGTGCCTGAATTTTCTCTGGGGTACATATGGCGGAGACGCGGGGATACAGAATAAACTCCTGATTGGTTGATCAATTTCGCCGAAAATTCGCCGCACTGGACCATCCAGTCTCGATGGATTAATTTCACCGAGACTGAAAAAACATGGGAAACAAATCAAACACGATTGCTATTGTACCATATACGGAAGTCATTTGAAGAGACCAGGGAAAACTGGGACTCCTATGCTAAACAATGAGAATTTTCCGGCGCTCTATTGATACCGCAGACCTGGTTTGATGTGTGTCACTATGCCAGCTGGTAGGGGTTAGCTCAGCAGCACGTAGTTTCAAGAGCAGCACATGCCTGCGCCGCACAAATTTTTCAGAACAAAATATCCATATGTATATCATACATGATTTTGTGAGCTCGTATGTGTTTGACCCAATCAATAGCATGTGGTGTTATTGACTCCGCCAGAATGTTGCATTGAACCACCCCTTGGTGTCCCAAAGAAAGATTTCTCGGACGAATTGATACCTTACCTACCTGTCAGAGTCAGAAAGTTATGGAGTCCCCTTAGAAACTAGCGGAGGACGGCAGCGCCTACAGCGCCACCCCCGAAGATATAGATTTGCTACCCCAGATTTTCTTTTGTTCCATTAAAAGATAGCAAATAAAAGGTATAATGAAGTGATTCTTACTGTCCTATTGCCTAAATATGGATACACGTATGTGATCTACATTAGTGGGTATTAACATTGAACCCTAAAACAGAGCTATTGACTCTGCGACCCCATACTGACAACCCAAAAAGCTTACGTTTCGCCGAAAATTGTCCGCTCGAGCAGAAGATCCAAGGTTTCCTATGAGTAAAGAGAGAAAGGCGCAGTTCATGTGGCGTCGCCGCTAGAAACTGGACTCTTGTTCGTCTTCTGCCCTCTTATGGACTGATTGTGTAGTAATGACTCTACTACGACTCAACCTGTTCGACATTAATTCTTTCAACCCACGTCTAGCTGTGTTACTCATAATTTAATACGAATTCAAGTACTACTATATCCAATTCAAAGTTCACGGAAGGTTCCCTGTCACAGAATGTCTCTCCTGGTAGCCACGATGCGCACTACGCCAGTGCTGGGCCCCAACCCCAAGAAACATGCTCGTCTCTCAAATTCATTTGCACACTCTGATAACCAGAGCGTTGGACCTACTGCAGATCAGGAATGTTTCAATCGGTGGAGGCCAAAATATCACTTGATGCCGCCCCGTTACTGGGTTAATGATCCGTGTGGTCCAGGTTACAGTCCATCGGGACAATGCTATCAGATGTCTTTCCAATGGAACCCATTTGGATGTGAATGGGGAAATATGTCTTGGGGACATGCAACATCTCAAGATCAGGTACACTGGGTCGTTTCTCGCGAGCCTTCGATGCAGCCCTCTGAAGTCGAAGATCCTTGCGGCGTATTCACAGGTTGTACCTGGCCAACCAACCCCAGCGGTCAAAACGATGGCACTATAACAACCTTCTATACTTCCGCTCAACATTCACCAATCCATTGGACATTGCCTTATGAGAAGGGCAGCGAACTCATCCGCATGGCAACTTCCAGGGACCATGGGCGAACTTGGAAACGTCACCCATCTCCCATTGTTACAGGGCCTCCGAAAGGGCTGGACGTGTTAGGTTGGCGAGACCCCTTTATCGGGAAATGGGACTCTATTGATCGATGCCTCAACCGTAATAGTGGAGAGTACTTGTATGGCGTTGTTGCGGGCGGGATTCGTCATCAGTCACCCACAGTCTTTCTATACTCTATCGACGCACGGGATCTTACCCAATGGAGTTTCATTTGCACGCTCTTCACTCCAGGGCAAAATTTTAAAACCTCAAAGAGGTTGTCAGACTTTGGAACCAATTTTGAAGTAACCAATTTCATGACACTCCGAGACAATAATAGCGATTCCTACGATATTTTGTTGATGAGCATAGAAGGCGCACATGAAATGGAAACGCCTTCATTCTTGGAGATCAAAGGCCAAGTCAGCAAAGCACAAAGGTCAAACAAAATCCAGAACTGGCTTTGCGGCCAGCCAGTATTAACAGAGAGTGTTGAGAGCCAAGCATTGAGATTCGAGTTTCGATTTGGTGGCCGCCTCGACTATGGGCTTTACTATGCTGCAAATTCGTTCTATGATACGATAACAGACAGCCGAATAGTTTATGGCTGGATTCTTGAAGAAGATTTACCTCTTCACTTAGCAAAGAAGCAAGGATGGAGCGGTATGTTGTCCTTATCTCGTATCCTGAAGATGAGACAGATCAAGAACGTGGTCGCTGCTTGCTGTTCCGATTTGCGGTCTCTGGACTGGCTTCATTGCACCCCCAATCTTGATGGCTCCTATAGCGTTACCACACTTACGTCCTCCCCTGACCCCCGCTTGTCGAGTTTACGCCAAAAAGAGTTGGGTCTGTCTTCTGCGCCTGCCGCCAATGCTTGCAGCTACTCGGATGCTCAGATTACACTTGGCTTCCTACTTCTCAAAGCACGCCATTTTGAGGCAGAAATCTCCTTGTCAGTTCCACCAACTGCAGAACAAGTTGGTATCACATTGTATCACTCTTCCGGTAAGATTCATAGGGAAATACAATGTATTGTCGTGGTAGCTGACTGGAATTAGATCATGTAAGCAGGACAGCTATATACTTTCGGCCAAATGAGGAATATCTAGTGGTAGAGCGAGATGGTGTGTACACAGGTGACAATGAAACAAGTGGTGTAAATGACAGCCCTGAAACTGCACCACACACCCTTTTCACTACGCGAGACCCTGTTACCGGTAAAGAAGAGCAAGAAACGTTGGATATCCACATTTTCTTCGATGTCAGTGTACTTGAGATTTTTGTCAACGGGCGTGTTGTTATAACGACCCGTATCTATCCTGAGAATGGCCAGTGTTACGGCTTGCAGCCATTCGTGAAGCATTTTGAAAGTTCGATAGGAGGAAATGAGGCAATACTATCGCGCTGCGTGGGATGGGAGCTGAGGCCATCAATATTTTATGAGACATAGAATTAGATTCACCATTTTGGAGACTAGCGAGACATAACCAATATATGAACATGTTCTTAGCAATACATATCGATTATCACTCAGGTCAAAAGAGTCCATTAAAGATCTTGGAAACGGCTCGTCAGCTAGAGATACCGATAAAAGAACAAGGAAAATATAAAATACACTATTTATATTATAAATCATGTAATTCTGCCTCGGACCTCTGGTAGGCCCGTTGGGCGGGATCATTTCGCTCACTTCTCGCCAACAGCCAGTGTAAAAGTGTAATTTATTAACATCAAGTACATAGATGGTGGTGTATGACTAGATCAACATGCTTCTAGATTTGGGGTATCGATTCCAAGAGAGTGGAGATGAGCCACATACTTCCCCAAATATGGGTGATTGCCGCCTCGAAGTATGCTAAAAACCTTCAAGTATCTGCGGATAAGCGTATGATGCGACGTTTCCATGCCTTGCTGTGCGGGATATAGAGAGGCAGAGGGCAGCAAGAGGGTTACGCTGGGTGAAAGCCGCTTGATCGGGAAGGCTGGATCACTTAAAACAGTAATAGCCGTCACGGAAATGTCGTAGAGCTTCTCAATCTTATACAATTTGTTAGCAGGGGATGTAATATATGAAGAAACCTAAATATAGATCCTTACCAATCCTACTCCGTGAGCTTCCATGAAACTCAGAGGCAGCTTTTGACACAGAGCCAATGTCGATTCTGCTAGGCAGATAGCATAGTCGAACTGTAGCTCGGGGTGCGGTGATTGTAAATTTAGCAGGTTGTGTGCCAAGCAAAGACACCAGAGCCGGTTCTGAAGCCACTTTTGCGTTACAAGTATGTCGGCATGCTGGGTAACAATTGCCTGTCCATCAAGTACATCCCTAGCCGCATCGTCTAGTGGTTGGTCATCTAGGACGAGACGGTCATAGTGGCTATAAAGATGCCGACCCTGGACGCGCTCGAGTTTCTCATGCACTAGCAAAACCGTCTGCTCACTAGATTTAGGGCAGCCTCCTTGAGTTGCTGCACACGTAGCGTTCCAGCAATCTATAAACTCATCTTGGATAGCACTAAAAAGCTGCATGAGTACCGACAGTCCCATCAATGCGGCGGCGTCCTTCTCGTTAAATACAATCATTCCCGAAAGAAGGCCATGGGAAGAGCTGCTCAAGAGATCATCTGAGATAGGCGGTACTGAGTCACGCATTTGTTTTAAGGTGATAGGATGTCGTCTTTGTATTGAATATGCCCTGTAAAAGTTATATCAGCCTGCAAAGAAATGTGCGCTGATAAGCATGCTAACCTCTCTGTAATAAACAAGACCATGTATGCGCGTAGCTTCTGACCTGTTTCTTCACCAAGATCTCCCTGGTACGCATTCGAGTCATCTAATCCCATTGTCTGAGCCAAGTCAATAGTTTCTCGCAGACGAAGCCAAGCGGCATTGTGCTGGTTAGTGCCAAAGAGAGAGCCAAAGAGGAAGAAGCTTGTCATGACAGCTTCCAATGTTGGGCTTTCACCAAAGTCAAAAGAGCTACGCATTTTCATGGCTTCGTTCATCAACAGCTTCGCCTGACGCTCCCGTGATGAGGACGTGGGCCGTTCACTAATGAAAATGGGCTGGGTGATCGCGAACGCGCAAAGAGCCAAGATCATGGAGCCGAATAAAGGGTTATGACGATGTTCCTGGAGATAAATCTTGGTGAACAGTGTAGATCGGTTGAAGACTGGCATTGTTGGATGAAGTCTATCGAAATAGACATCCATCCAGGGAATTAAACTGGCCTCGCTGATGTAACTTGGCCAATGTGAGATAGTTTCCCTTAACTGCTCTGGAGGAACTACCAGATCATACGGGCGCCTGCTTGTCTGGTTTGAAGTGTTTTCTTGAAAATCCGTATCAATTACCGGCGGAAGTGCTGCAAAGTCTACGAATGAGCCCCCCCACGGGAAACCGAACGGTGGTATTTGTGATGTCGCCCTATCTGGTGGCCAGTACTCTGTATCTTGACCCTGGTTGAAGATGCCGACGTCACCTGTATTGGATATTGGTAGGTCATTTCCAAAGCTAGGGCTCACGATGTCCGGAACAGACTGCGATCCGTGATCTGTCGCGGTAAGATGGGCATCGAATTCTTGAGGCGGCCATTCGGATCCTGGTACCGGCAGTGACGAGGTCGAAGTCGTATCGCTGTCGGCCGCCCTAGTTGACTCTGATACGCGGGCTATCACCCCCTCAGTACGTTGATCCAAATTTTTTTCATGATGTAGACGGCCTTGGTCTTGCTGAATTTGCGCAAGACGCCTAGTAAAGATATCAGAAAACGCCAAGGAGTCAGGATTCTGGTTTGATAACCTACTTGCCAGCAGGACCGCGTTTCTTCTGAGGCTTCAGATATGTGCATTCAAACCCACGAGCGAGACACATCTTACACGGCTGCGAGAAATCGCACTGTGCATGAAATCAGCTACTGGCTGCAAACTGAGCAGCTATTCGCAATGTCAAACTTGCCCTAATTTTGCGAAGCTTGCATTGATCGCATGATCGCTTAACGACCCCAGCTGTCGACTTTCCAGGGTAGTTATCTGCTGATGGGCTAGAAGTACTCATCCTTCGCAACAAAAAAACCTTGATCTCCAAGTGAGCTTTGCAGCACTGACTCGGCAATGTTATTGGTTGCGCAAGTGGTTGTAGATTTGTCTCCTGACAACTTGGGATGAAGTTCTGATACTTGTTTCAACACTCCTACTAATCTAGCCGCTCTGGGTGACGAAGTGGGGATGGTCTTAAGCCACTGTGTAAATAGCAGATTTACACAGGGGTATTTCTAGAGGCCGCGTATCAAGCATCCAAGCAGGCGTAACCAGCATCTAATTGACTAGGTATCTATAGATAAACTGCATGTGACTGAAGAAATTCCTTGACTGTATTATAGTAGATAAGCGCTCTGTTATAGTAGGTAGCTGTTATGTTATACTATATATGCTATATTATATGAGGTATTTAATGTATTAAAGCAGGCATATACTGTATGATAGTATGATAGCGGGTAAGTGCTATGTTATAGCGGGTAAGTGCTGTATTACAGCAGGCAAGTGCTATATTATAGTACACAAGTGCTGTATTGTAGCAACTAAGTACCATTATTTTCATCTATGTATAAAGCCCTATTGTTTTAAATGCTAGTTGCGCCTGCTTGGATGCTGGATAAGCCATCCCTATTTTTATGTACTAAATGAACCTTGTGGTTGCTGTAGTCGGTTTGAGCAGAACGAATGACATTTTACGCATGGGACGGTTTGAATATTTAAGTACTTGAATATTACAAAGCTCTTGGTGCAAATAAACATTGGGTTCATACCTAGACTGGTATTAGCGGCTACGTCAGTGGATCGACTCACTCTACAAATTCGCTCTACAAACTATACTATAACTATGTACCTAGATCCAATCATTGCTTCTAGTTGCCGAAGCCTAACTCTTCACAGGCTGAATAAGGCGAAAGTAAATAGAATGGCTAAACGTACAGAAACGGTTCAGATGCTATTTGAGAGACCTGTTTTATTTTCTCATGTCAAACGCTGGACGAGTGAGTGCGTGTCAGCTAAATTACAAGCCGTACGGCGGCGTTGAGCTAATTAATACTTCTTTATTGTAGTTATTGCAACAATGGAACATTATTGAAAAGTTATATGACTCGTTATGACCGAATTCATAATGGAAGTTCTACAAAGCACCAATGTCACATTACATACCCTCTTACACCATGATTTACTAAACTTTGGGCGATATCTCTTATATCTATCATTGAAAGAGACCCCCTTATGACTATTTACTGTGTGGATGAGTATGCAGCGGGCTCCTGTGCAATGGAATGGGCAAATTCACAGCGGAGAAAGTGAAGTTAGAAGTAAATAGATAGGTATCATCCAATGAGCACATTATCAACAGTATCAATGGTACGGATCGTGCCAGTAGAAGTGGGGTTTAGCAGCCAAATTATTTTATGTAAAAGCCAACTTAACATAGGTATGATCTCTAAGACATCTACTGAACAAGTAACATTTGAGATATATGTGCAGAGCGCAGAATTGAGCTTTTAAATGTCTTGTGAGCCAGGTCTAGGTTGAACCAGGGCTATAGTTTTCTTTGTAATATAAGCGATATAGTCCTGTCTTGTATCTTCATGGAGGATAGACCGCTCATAGCTCATGTTTAGGTGCATCTATATCTAAAGGTGTCTCGGTAATTTAACTGACCATTCCATAGCGTTCTAAATATAACTGACGTGCCGTATTCGTTCATTGCCCTGAGCATCCTACCCAAGTCTTCTGGCGCTAGAGACTGCTCATACATAGACTGGTTTTCGTTGGCGTGATAAGATAGGTGAAACCGGCTAACAGATGGACTGTCGAGTCTTATCTTGTATCGGTTTTCCTAGTCTATTTGTGGCCTCTTTCATTTCCTTACCGTCTTCTGCGTTTTCCCAATTTGCCATAATAAGAACCACTGTATGGTAGGGGTCAGCTTCCGAAAAACTACCACTATTCTACACCGTCAGGAGCATGTCATTGCAATAACTCACATGCCGGGTCGTCCTCGATTTCCTCAATAGTGTTTAAACTAGAGACCCACGGTTCTCCTCTATGAAACTTTTCGTAATTGGCTGGAAGCTCAGCATCGTTAAAAATCCAGGTGTATCTTCAAGAGGTGCAAAGACATCGGCCCCTATTTAACGAAGTCGAAAAACAGCGTGGTGCTGATATTTATTGTCGAAGCGAACCAGGCTGTACTAGAAGGTGCATAGTTCAGCGAGCCTATGGGGTCGACTTATTCTAAATCTGATGAGCAATCAGCCAAGCATACTGCAAAATGTCAAGCCAGGTTGCTATCTCCATGCTATCCCCGGCAATGACACATAAAAAATATGCTAATGGGATTGCCTATTGGCTAAATTACTAGGTAAGAGGAACGAAGGGGAGAGCAAAATTATATGATATTGAGAAACTGCGGTGAGTGTTTTGTACATATATTTGATCTTTATAGCCGAATATACATTGTCTTTATATTGGTTAACAATGACTAGCCAAACTTGACGGGTTGGAGCACTTGAAGCTACTGCCACGAAGCCTTCAACTGCGACTAATGCTCTTACCTCCTCAGCCGAGTCAAATGATTTCGATATCAGATCCCATCATATCTCATTCCACCTCCCGTTTACGATCTGTGCGTTCATCGACTCAACAGATAACAGTCTGTCAGCGAGCTCTCATGAGGCCGCATATATTGAGGTATACGACTTGCCAGGGCCACCTAAAATAGAAAATTGATGACTTTTAATTGAGTTCGGAGAAAGCTTCGTCAAAATATGACTCAGCTAACATCCACCATCCACATTGGAGATGAATCCATAACTCTGATCACAGTGCCGATGTAGCAGCAAAATGTAGCTGTGATTCAACAACTTCACAACCTTCTGCTAAAAAGGAATAATAGACATTTTGACGCTGTATTTTAGCTAGAATAATATTATTATTATAATGAAATAAACAACTGTGGTTGGGCAGAGCTATTTAGAACAGTTCAGGATCAACTTGAAGCTGGTAAACATTGATCTAACACTAAAAGATACATGGAAAATTACGTTACGTATCTCGCTGTGGAAACATGGTAAAGGTCAATAGCGGTTGTATTATACTAATGTATATTTTTGTATTTGTATTATTATTAAGTATTAAATTGCCTTATAAATTAACAAAGTTAGCTCCTCATCGTTTGGAGATGTAATATCTTTTTTCTTTTCGTCCGATAGGTGCATTCAGAAATTATGGCAACGAAGTTCAATACATAGTGCAGATAGCCAGAAAGAGACATCAGCAATTATTAGCAATTATTATTCTCACAATCGAATGCGGCTATATAACAGTGCTTATATTCTACTCGATTACACAGAGATAGAGTGCTAATTGGATCTATTGGTAGCTATTTATGATAGTGTGTACAACCTATAACTCACTGGGCGGCAATGTCACTCAACCCCAATTCAATTAACTTGCATTAATATTGCAGAACCAGCCATAATGGAAAGTGCCTTATTCATGGAGATTTTTATGACACAATCTTCCCTCCCAGTCCTACTTCCCAAATAGAGGTCAAATTATGTCAGGTCAAGCGCTCATCTCGTCGAAGACTCACTAGCCAAAAGTTCAAGAAGAGTTCGAAACGTATCTCAAGATGATGTAGCACGCACTGACAATAAATCATTATAGCTATGTTTTCTGAATAATCATGTGAGCCGCACGCTCGGCGATGCCATATACGGCTGTTTGAATATGGGCAGATGGAAGAACGGGAATAATGCTTGCGTCCACAACACGTAGATTAGTAGTGCCGTACACTATGAGTTCCGGGCTTACTACTCCACCGTCCTTCTGAGGAAGCATAGCACACGTTCCAACTGGATGATATATGGACAGCGTGGTGTTGAGAACATACTGACGCCAGTCCTCGTCCGTCTGTACAGATGTGCCCGGTTCATACTCATTCACCCATGCTGAAGAGAGCGGCGCCGAGTTTGCAATCTTGCGGCAGTACTTTGCAGCCTCGATAGCGGCTCGTACATCGTACTCGTTGGACAAATATTGTGGGTCAATTTGTGGTTTGGTATCGATGTCAGCAGAAATGATATGAATGGTGCCACGGCTGAGGGGATGCATAACGACACCGATAAGTGTGAAGAAGCCCTTTCCATAGAGGGATGAGCCAATAGCAGGGTAGCCTTTTACACCAGTGTAACCATCTGAGAAGATTACCTCCACCTGCGGCGACAGGAGCGACCCAATATACTGTAGCTTCTTCTTATCGACAATCGAGCCGAGAGAAAGCACCACACTCTGGGCGAGAGAGTTGAGTTTGGTAGCCAGGTTACCTACCACCTGATGCCAATTTAGATAACTGTATCCACTCCCTGTATAATCATACAAAGAAGTCTGATTTGCACGCCATAATGCAAGCTGAGCGGCTGCATACGTGGCATTGTATTTGAGTATGTCAAATGAAGTAAAATTGTCCTTCAATTGGTATGATGCTTGGTATCGAACGTGGTCCTGCAGATTCTCCCCGACACCATCGAGGTTAATGATCTGGTCTATACCAGCCTTTGATAGCACTGCCTTGCTACCTATGCCAGACAGTTCTAGTAGGCCAGGACTTTGAATAGTGCCACAAGATAGAATAACCTCCCTCCTAGCCTGGATAATGGTGCCATCCTGCAGTGTAACACCAGTTGCAGTATGCGAGTTCTTGCGCTTGAGTAAATTCACCTTGGCTACGCGCGTCTCTAGCAGCAAATGTAGGTTCTTCCCCGATGTTGGGATATAGGAGTTAGCAGCGTAAGATCTCGCCCATGTTCTCGAGTCGACGTTGCTAGGCTGGTTCATATATCCGATAGGATTCCCACCCAAGGAATTGAGGTTGTGTGGGATTCCCAAACCGGCCATCGATTGCAACCATAGATTCTGCTGCGCGGGTATAACCCTATTTATCACAGTGTGGATAGGTCCACTAGTACCAACGCCTTGGTCGCCATAGTTGGACGAATTGATACCTGTAAAGGTCTCCACCATCTCCATCGCAGTAATCATATTCTTCCAGTTCCAAGACGGATTGCCGAGTTGCTCCCAGCCGTCATATTCCTCAGATGCAGATCGATCCCACGTCATTAGGTTCAATGCCGAGCTTCCACCAAGCACCTTGCCTCTATTGGCTCCGAGGACTCGACCATTGAGTGTGGTTTGTGGCACAGTAGTGAAGTTCCAATCGTAAACGGTGCCAAGTGTCGACCCCTTCATGCCAGGAATATTAATGCGATCCTCATCCAAGGCCTCAGGGCCGGCCTCGATCAACAAGATGCTTTTGTCTGGCAGGCCCTGGCTTAGCCTAGTCGCAAGGGCTGAGCCGGCTGTGCCGCCTCCTACCACCACCTTTGACAAAATGTTAGCGGCTATAATTCTGGTGCACAGCGAATATGCTTTATGAAATCTTTCTCGCGACAATATAGAACATACATAGTCATAAACTTGACGCTGGCTGGAACTGGAACTAGCAGTGGCCGCTGGGACGGCCACAGCTGTTACGAGCCAGGTTATCGGGATTGATCTCCTCATGCTCTTTTTTTCAGATGGTAATAGGATCTGATCGAGTTAGGGTTGAACTGGAGATGAGAAAGGAAAGTCATGACAATTTAAGCACTGACGCAGATGTACGGTATCATGCTAGTGCTCGAGGACCAGCTTCAGTGAGTAGTAAGATGTCACGTTCTTCATTTAACCCGCATTATCACCAAGAGCCCAATAAATCACCACACCGCCTTTGCGTCGCTTCCAGACAACGCACAGGAAAAATCATGATATATTGCCTAAATGCGCTGTTTTGAATCGACCAACAACGCTTGGTAATGTCGGGGCATGCGAGATTCGGCAGGAAGGAAATAGGATAATGCTCGTCTATCCGTATTCGGCTCGGGAACGGTTCTGTTTTCGCCACACTTACCGCAATCAACCCTGTTACCAAAAGGGACTCTTTGCGCTGGGACCGGGGCTGGGATATACATGCATACAAATTGGCCAGCAACCCTTGTCGGAACAGCCAGATTTAACATGGGTCATCCAACAGCCTTAAAATTTGTAGAGAATCGAATGTCACCCGCGCTAGGACAGAGCATGGATCGGGGAACACGGGATGAAAAGTCCACACAGGCTATTCCAGTTGAATCCTTCGGTCCCCTTGTGCCATATGAGCATATAATCTGTGTGTATGTAAATGTGGGCAAATAGGTACTCTCCGTAGTATTTTATAGGTGTTTCAAGTGCAGAATGCGTTTGGCATCGGACCAACAGCCTCAACTTTTACTCCCATGAATGCAGCCGTACGGAGAAGCTTCCAGCTAGCATCAATGCTACCTTACCTCACACTCCTAGGTAGCAGTGCCTCTAACTAGCTAAAATTCTGTTTTACATAAGACCAAAGGCTTGCCTTAGAAGTAGGTTGTATTCTTCTTTCCATTTAGGTGTTTAAAAGTCGGTCCAAGTCACCTAGAAGAAGTAGCAGTCAGGCATCTTGACTTCTGCGTCTCGCTTAGGGGATGGTAGAGCATATACTCCATTCGAGGTGCTGTGCGTCAACCAATACAGTGTATAAGTCGTCATATACATTGGTATACCTCTATATCTTCCTTATCTCTATCCTTGTGTGGCAAGATCTGGCACTATGACTCGCCCACCACCGCCCAATCCTCTTCCCCCGAACCGCAATATCGGGCCTACACTGATCGTCATTACGGTCATCCTAACTGCCTTTATGCTTCTTACGACTGGCCTACGCATATATACTCGCTTTTCTCTTCGCGCGCAAGGCTGGGATGACTACCTGATGATAATAGTTAATGTCTTAGCGCTCACCCGAATGTCAGTTCAAGTAGTACAGGTTTCAGTTTACAATAATGGTCGTCACCGTTGGTATATTAGCGAGTCTGACTATGTCAACAACAATATGCTGGGATGGTACGCACAAATCTTCCTTTTTGCTGGCGTGTGCTTCTTAAAATCCTCCATCTTATTCTTGATTGTACGCCTCAGGGACGAGCCAAACGTCCGTCGGATTCTATATGCCGTTGTTACGGGCCTCTTCATTACCAATTTTGGGACTATCATCATTCTCGTTGCAGAATGTTCTCCTCCGTCTGTATACTGGACTCAGCAAGGCGGAAAGTGCTGGGACACAAGGATTCGCATCTACGCTATTTATTTTACAATAGGTAAGGTTACTATGCAAGATGTGCTAGTATTAACTTCGAAAAAAAAAAAAAAGAGGCAGTATTCACGCTAACATTTCTCAACTACACAACAGCATATTCAATTGCGACCGATATATTGTGTTCTTTACTCCCTATATACGTTGTATGGGGCGTCCATATTAAAACGCCTACTAAGTTCGCTGTCTGTGGCCTAATGAGTCTTGGTCTTCTGTAAGCTCATTGCCACTGCGACAATTTTGACACTTGACTTATGTTCTATAACAATGGTTAACCTGTCCATGGTAGTGCTACAGGTTTTGGTGTAGCCAGAGCTGCGTCTCTCGGCCTAGTAACTGTTGACCTCAGCTGTACGTAAATCCTCTCCGTAAGGGACTTCAAATTTATATAGCAGCCTAATTAACAAGATGAATGGTAGGGGATTACGCGATATCGGCAATTTGGTCCAATCTTGAGCTGTTTCTAGGCATCATCGCGGCAAATATCGCTATTTCTCGTTCCGTGTATGCTTTTTTTCGTGAGGATAAGGCAGCTGCCAGTTTGACGGGTTACAGTTCCACGAATATTCGCCTGGGCTATTTGAAACAAGACGAGCAGCGGATCAATATTACGAAGGAGACGGCCTCAACAATTGCCCGTCGTCCCTCTGCCTCCAAGAGTGAAGAAAGCGAAGCCCCTTTGATATTTATATCTCATACAGTAGCATTGCCCGCGGTTAGTAGCAGATAGGCTTGCTGACTTGGCCGGCGCCGCTATATTATAGCGAATAAATGCTGTATTATAGCAGATAAATAATTGATATTATATGCATGGATATTATAATAAAGGGAATTATATCTACAGCGCAAGGCGCTGTGGTATAGTGGCCTAGCGCCATATGTTAGAAGATCAGTTCTGTGATATAGCAAAAAGGCACTGTATTACAATGGACAAGTGTTGTATTATAGCAGTTAAAAAGGTGTAAGTACTTCCTAATACACCGACGACCTCTATCTTCCATTTATCACTCGTCCTTCGTATAATACTGTCTGTTAAGTAAACAACTTTTACACACAACCTTAAAAGCCACAATCTTATGTTAACTTCCTTTAGATAGACTAGGATTGCGGGACCCATCATATTCAGCACTATAAGAGTAGCATCTATCTAGGTTATCGTGCTAATAGAAGCTATACGCCTGAATCGTCCTCAATGACGCTATTGTCCGAGGCATACGACTTCCACGCGGCGCATGTCGAGTTCAATGTATCATAATCAATGAGTTCCGTAATTTCTGACTCGCGCACTATCCATTGAAGGGCAAAACCCTCACTCGTGTGCCATCCGATATGGCAGTGCATGAGCCAGGCTCCCGGGTTGTCCGTCTCGAAGGCAAGCACAAGATAGCCGGACGCTGGTAGCATAGCGACGTCACGGCGCGGGGGATTGTCCGTGTTGAGAGTCACGCTGTCGCTATAGGTGCCTGTACCTTGGGCTAAGATGTAGAAGTCAAAGCCATGCAAGTGCACTGGGTGCGACACAGGCATTGTTGTGCTTATGACGGTATAAACCCACTCATTGGCGTTAGGCAATGAGATAACAGCGTTAGACGCATCAAAGGTTGTAGCACCATTGTACACTTGCAATAAGCTTGGATCTTCCCAGTCAACTACCATAGTCGTACTGTTTAAGTACCACTTGAATAGATTATCACTATTCTTACCCACAGTTACTGCCTCGTCCTCGGTTGTTGTGTCGCTCGAAACTGATTTGGAGACAAATGGTACTAGATTAGATATATCCTCGTCATCGCAACTATCTGTATACGAGTAGCCCGTCGTCTCAGGTGTGCCCGCGCTGCTGCCATAGTAGACGATGCCCTTGATGTCATCTGAGTTCTCGTTAGACGAGCAAGCGCTCTGTGGGATAGCTCGCATCCAGAAGTTATCGGCAACAGAGGACTGATTCGCTGTGATTATGACATCGTAGCGCTGTCCTATAGTAGGTAGGCAATATATGTTAGCAGATTTCCTTATATGAAAAGTGGGGGCCGAGAATCCATACCCATTCCAATGCTTAAGATGCTTGTATTAAAAGGTGTGATAGGAACGAGGTCATTGGCAATCACTTGCATGGTGTGATTGTCAATAGAAAATTTAAAATGTGAGTCGATAGCACCATTGACAAGACGCAGTCTGTACGTTTTCCCTTCCGTAAATGACGTATTAAACCGGTGACCGGCATCATCAAAGACGTTTGTGCCATTGATGAGGCCCGTCGTCAGTGTAGGGGGGCCGCTTGTCTCCGCTGATTGGTACAGCTCGTCAGCGGTCTGGTGACTCCAGTCGTTCAGAAAAAGAACTCCTAAATCCTCGTCGTAGTTGGCAGTAGCTGGACCGTTAATAACAATGCCTCCAAAGACACCTTCCCATGCTTGCAACCCAAAATGAGAGTGGTACCATGTGGTTCCATATTGAGTAGCTTTCCAGGTATAAGTGATGCTACTACCAGGAGGGGTGGGACATTGAGTAATGCTAACAACTCCATCATTTTGATTTGTAAAATTCTGGCGGATGCCATGAAAGTGGAGGCTAGTGCCGTTGCTGCTGGTCGAGAGGGCGTTGCTCACATGGACCACCACAGTATCACCCCAATCGGCAAACAATATAGGGCCGGGAATACTACCATTGATTGCCTGCGCGTAGCGTGAGAAGCCATCTGGAGCTACTGTAATATCTGTAAGCTCCAGCCAGTATTCTCGAGTTACGCCAGTGTCAGGAGCCTCAATGTAGTAGTCTGTCGAGATATCAAAATTACACCACTCATTTCTAGTGGTAGCAGTATTACCCGAACACGAAGATCGGGGATGGAGGTAGGGAGCCACAGCTCTATCAAAGGAAGGAAAGGCAAGCACAGTTCCTGCAATGAGTGACGCCACAAAGAGAGGAGGCCACATCATACTGAATAGGCCTATTATTAATGGACGAAATTGTGAAAAGGCTTAGAGATGTGGTGATAAGGAATGAGTTGGGAAGATGACTTGCAGTTTTGGTTTATGAACGAGAATGAGAAACTTTTGTTCAGAGTGAATCAAGGCATGGTTATATACTCGGCCTTGGGTTTGCTAAGCTTGTATGCCATATTGTCACTTGTGATTCCCTAACCTGGAGACGTCTCCTATAATTCGTAAACGCAACGGCGTTTATGCAATTAACGATTTCGCTACACGACTGTCTTGAGTCTACATAACCCAGCACTCCATGGTAGCTAGGAGAAGCCTACGCAATTACTCTCTACATCGGAATCTACAGGTATCAAGAACCATTTGTCGGCAAGGCAGATTCCTCCACACCCAAATCAATCTTCACATGTAAAAGAATATTTGCAAGGAATATTTTTAATTTTCAATGCATTGAGTTAGAAATAATATCGAGAGCTTTGCAGTTGCGTAATGAGTTGCGTAATCGACTACTCTTTGAAAGCAGAAAGGTCATCGTAGTTCCACAATTTTCGAAGTCAGAATTGTGTTTCGGAGTAATCTTTACTGAACCGCCTTCATTCCCAAAAAGCTGGACGGTATAATCTGCGTAATATGTGCACAGCACAGTACAGAGTAACACAGCACAGCCTCGATATAAAGACGGGGCTAGTAGCGCGTCATACTTTTTCTCGATTCAGTAATCTGAAACTAAACAACAGGGAGGACCGTTTGCACTAGTGATGACGTGGCTTTAAATACACGTATTTTAATTTTTAATTACATATCCCCTGAGTTACAAATATGGAAAGGTCTTTCTATATAAATGCCGGCTGCTATCATGTTCGGCATGTGGGGGGTGCATCCACGCTGAGGTAACCTATGTGACCGCTTTTTCCGTTTTGGCGTAGTCGCCTACACTGTGCATTGTCAAATAGATGAGTAGCGCATATCCGTAGGCACCTAGTATACCACAATAAATGTCTTACACGAAGATCTTGGACCAGGAAGTCTCGAGGAAATAAAACCTAATGTAAGCTAAGTAACTTAATAAATGGAAGCAATACTCGGTTCTTAAGGATATACAGTAAAATATGTATCGAGCGAGGACTTCACCAAGCTAGTTCTTCGAAGGAATAGTTAATATTTTGATCAAAAGAGATATACAGTTATACAATTTGGAAACTTTCACATACCGAGTATCAAGGTAAATCGTAATAAAATGTTCCTGCGATGTTTTAGCTGAGATTCCTTATTTTGCATTTGGGATGAAGATTTATCCTTTTTGTAGTTTATAGCATACCTTCGCCACATATTGACGCGTGGCCTCTAACAGGCAAGGCAGATTCTAGAATGAAAGAACAAGGTTTTCCTTAGCCGTGCATAGAATCAAGCACAACTGTTTATTTCCCTATATTGGTGTTATATATCTAGACATAGATAAAAGATACGGCAGCCGCCTGGGTGTGTTTCCGCCTTTTAACTTGACTTTTCACTGATTACCAGACTTGAACATTGCTTATCTTAGCAAGAAACCGCTCGCTGCACAAATCTCTAATTCACGAACGTATTCGAAAATTGTTTCACAATAATGTACCACCTAAAGCTCTTTTTTCTTCCATTGGGGTCTACTCTGTGCAGCGTTGCCAGTGGTGCCAGTACTGGTAATAATGTTCCCAGCAGCTTCAACTTATATGCCTATGGGCATGGGATTGGCGGATACCCTATTGTTTACCTCGACGGTGAGATACCAGTCCAAATACATCCTCAGCTAATATAACTCTTACAAACGCGTTGACCTCCAATTAGGTATCGCCCACGTCAGCTCACAAAGTCAGTTGAACACCTCAACTCAAGTTGCCCGCTTCAGTTAGTTTCCATCCCTTTGCTTAAGTCATGTAGGAAAGGGGGCATGATGTTTACCTTAAAAATTTCTTATTACCTTCTGTTGTTTCCATCGTCCTAGTCTTTCTTCCCGATTCTCACAACTACAATATTGAAACACTGTTTTAACATGATCTGATACCAGCTCTCTCGTCCAACACTCTCATTGCCAACTCCAATAGCACCGACGACAATGGTGGATTTTCCAATGCCACATTTTTCGTTCCAGGCCCCAACGACTCATCGCCACAAGCGGGCTTTGTGAATGGAACCCCGCCTGCTACGGCAATATCCTCGGGTTGGACATTCTATGGACAAACACTTCTACTTGTGGGTTCGTCAGGTCAATGGGAAGGGCTCTTCTCCGCCGAACCTACCGAACAGGATGATATCTTCTCCCTCAACTGGAACCAAACATCGGATACAGCTATCCCGCTATCAGTACGTTTCACTACACCTTCCAGTGCTACTATGTAAGATGTGGCTTTTACAGTGGGAATACTCGCATAGTTATTAGAGGTAGATAGTTTATAATATAAATTTAAATACCATCATTCATTAAAATTTTATATTTTAACTAGCCATATGTAAATAATTACCCAATATTTATGAACAATTGAGTATATTAGGGCTATCCATTATTAGATGATATCATCCTTGCTGGCCCTTGACAAATATAAATGAGCAAGCTGGTCTAACCCATTTATAATAGCTAGCATTTCGTCGTCACTTAGATTTGGATGTATGGAGTATATCCTCAATACTAAAACGCCCCGTACCCTTGTTGTCAAAGTCGCTGCCAGGTTATTCTCAATTGCTGATTGTGAAATCCTCATATTCACTTCGTCTAGATTTGCAGCAGGAACATGTGGATGAAATGGGAATAAAATGATACCCATTTGCGCCGGAGATAGGATCTCCCAGTCTTTCAGGCCCTCTAGTGATGACTGCGCTGTTTCCGCCAGTTCAAATCCGCGATTGATGGCTATATCTATGGTATTTAATCCTAGCAGTTGGAAGGAGAACCACAATTTCATTGCTCTTGCCGGGCGCGTAAGTTCTGGTCCGTAACTCCAGAAATTTGGAAGCGACTCGCCTGTCTCGGCGGCGTCCTGAGTATATTCTGCAGTTGTCCCAAAGCTTTCGGTAAGAAACTGGCGATGTCGTACGAGAACCATGCCGCAGCCATAAGTTTGGAAGAGCCACTTATGAGCATCCCAAGAAAGGCAGTCACAGAGTTCAATACCACAAAGAATCGCGCGGCGTGATTGACAAAGTAGGGCAGATGCACCGTAGGCCCCATCGGCATGAAGCCATAAGTTTTGTTCTCTCGCGATGGCGGCGAGCTCTATAAATAGATCAACAGTGCTAGTATTTGTAGTCCCAGCTTTACCGACAATAAGAAATGGGGTCTTGCCCAAAGCTTTGTCTTGCTCAATCGCTGACCTTAGCAATGCCGTACCAATACGCATGCTGTCATCACAGGTCACCTTGCGGATCTGGGATGGATGAAACCCAAGGATACCCAAACCTTTCGCTAACGATGAGTGTGTTTGACTAGATGTATATGCAACTGCCTTACTTCTCTCTTCTAATAAAAGCTTCAGGTCCCGTGCTAGCATGAGCGCGGATAGATTCGCCATCGAGCCACCGGAAACAAAGCACCCTTATTGTGCAGTTTGTAGCGGACACAGAATACAGAGTACGCTATGAGAACATATACGAGAGAAAAACCTTCCTCGGTGTGCAGACAGTGCGCCTTTGGGAAAGATTGTACCAGTCCAAGAGCGTATGGGAAGTTGTTTCTTTGGTTGGTGCTTCGTTAAATATATACGCAGACCTATTAGAACAGGGTCACCTGCTTCTTTGACCTTTTGTAGCTAAATAATAGACTTCTTATCCCGCTGAAGTGTTCTCTTGCACACGAAACTCAATATGAACCAACTCTCTCCTCAATCAGGCCGGTAAACTTTATCATATCTTTTGAACATGGCTCCAAGACTTCTTGTAATACAGGAATCCACCATTTTTCCATCCCCGAATTAAGCCCTACGGCTACCGCATACTCAACATATTCGGGAAAAAACCCGCTTAATTCCCAATCAATAATTCCCGTAATAGTACTGCCCTGGACAAGAATGTTACGTGGCGAAAGATCACCGTGGGTCAGGACAAATTTTCCAGACGATGTACGCCGCTGTTTCTCCAGTATCCGTTGCCATTTCTTCTGCTGAAACCCCCCCCCATAAAGTCGCGTCAAGCACCAATCATCAAACGACTTTTCGTCTTCGAAGGGACCACAGTATCTAGTAAAAGTGGTATCGTATAAGTTGCGAGTAGGTTGTTGATTAACGCGGCCGATAATTGGCTGTGTTAGTGTGCGCATATGCCTGATTTGGGCACGAAGCTGCTCTTTGATGGAAGTCTGATCATGTTGAGACATATCCCTCCAGGTATCTACTAGAGGTATACCGGGAACTCGCCCGCTAACCATAACACGCGCAATAGGTTTTTTGGCAACAATGTCATATGTACCGAATACTTTGGGCGCCAATACACCATGCTCTGCAGCGTAATTCATCATGTCGCCTTGGGAGCGGTCTAGGCCATCCGGGCTGCTAACTTTCAGGGCTAGCAGCTTGCCCTTGGAACTGATGTGTTCAAGAACGCGATTTCCCCAAAAATTGTGTATCTCTTTTCCGATAACCGCATCCAGATATGAAAAATTGGGAAATTTTGGAAGCTGGTCGTTTTCCCCCATTTTTTCTTCTCCTTCTTCTTTCATCTCGTTCATTGCGTTAGATGACTGGGCGAGAGCTTTCATAGCGATCAGCTGTCTTGCGGACGATTGTAGCCAAGCATACTGTTAGTATCGTAAGGACTTTGGCAAATAGCCCCACTTGGTCACATGATTATGCCCACAAAACGAGTCAACGGAGTATTAGCCTAGCTAGCTCAATTGACCATGTTTATTCTATCCTCACACACATTGGTAGCCTTATCGACTAGCAAATTCAAATAATTATTGAGTATCATACAAGCCCTCCTTGACCAACAAATAATGCATGCAAAAGATTTTCCACCTGCTATCCCTTGGTTCCGCAGCCAAAATGAGTTACCTGGCCCTCTGCCCACAGCAGCACAGATTGAAGCGGCATCTATAGAGCTTCCAAATAACTACACTACTGACTTACGAAGAACGGTCTTAGTCAATGAACATTTTGTTGTAAAATATGGGCCTCTTGTGTACGAAAATGAAGTCCCACTTAAATATCTGCATGTTGGTTGTTAGTCAGTCGTTTGCGAAAAGCAGCGATCTTGATGTTTGTCTGATCCTCAATCTGAATGCTTGCAAGACATTTAGGCAGTAGCACAATTTACTCTTCGATATCATGGAAAATTGTGGATTACTTTTCCTCTTTATCCTCGGATGTAATTCCCTAAGCATGAAAATATGTCTGTGAAGATTGAAATAAGAACATCTATCTGTGCTGAGGAATATAGATACTAAGCTTTTTTTGGGATAGCTTATAAGCATCCAAGCAGGCGTGACTAGCATCTAAAACAGTGGGGCTTTATAGATGGAGGTACTGGTGCTTATGGTCCTATGGTACAGTGGTTGCCTGCTATAATACAGCGCTGGCTTGGTAAAATTCACCACCCGTTGGCAAAATGTAATATTTACCTACTATAACGTAGTACAAATATATTATAGTAAATAAATATATATATATATATATATATTAGAGCAGCTATAAATTATACTATAGTGAGAATATATTATGTTATAATAAGTATATACTATTAAAATATAACTTTCTTTTTATTTATTATATTACAGGTCATAAACCTTTTCAATTTTCTTATGCTTAGCCATAAAATTAGCCATACTGTCTCTTTTCTTTTCCTTTTTTTTTTTTTTTTTTGTGTGTAGAATGTGCCCGCTGGGATGTCGGATAGGCCCTCCCTTTTCTTGTACCTGACATACATGTGAAAGTTGCGAGAAAAGGTTGTTGTTCGCTGACCGGTAAATTAATATAAGATATGAATAGAGTAATGGCTCTTTATATGTATATTTAAAGCCTTCCTTTCTTCCTCCAGGGAGCAATAATCTTTCGCGGCCCTTTCAACACCCGTGGTGAAGTCCAAATCGTATTCGTAGAATCACTACCTACCATGAGATTCCTCAAGTATTCTTTCACCTGTATTGGCATCCCGGCCCTTCCTGCAGAGTCAATCCAATGTGTAGTGTCGACTTCGGAAAACTCCGTGCCATGTTCCCTCTCTAAGTATAATCCAAGCTGGTCTAGCCGAACCCAGTTGTTCTCAACACCACAGTGATTGCGATACTGCACATTTGTCCCTTGACTATTGCGTATATCCAATACGTCTGTCACGATATCTTGTGCCACGTCGTCGATTCCTACAAATTGCAGCCATCTGTCTACTGAAGGCATACGAGGCACGCTCTTCAGTCTCTCTGCAAAACTCAGGATATTGTGCATTACATCAAGCTGGGGCGCATCTGGCCCAAGAACATAGGATGGTCTGTGTATTGTAACTAGTAGCCCAGAACCGATATGAGCATTTTCCAGATATTTCTCCGATGCCCACTTCGATGCGATATATCCGTTCGTGTTTTTGTGAGGTTGAAGCACGGATATTGCCTCTTCATACAATTCATCTGCTCCAAGCTGGACAACACCAGCTGTTGAGACGAAATGAAAGCGCAGTCGTGGCTTATCAATTGCGTGCTTAATGGCTAGCTGCACGAGGGCTTTAGTAGAAAGAACGTTGGCTGCACGAAGAGTCCAATAAGTTCGAAGGAATGAGACGTCCGCGCCATTGTGGATTATTGCCGACGCTTGGGAGAAGACCCGTCTTGCCGCAACATCGGAAAGCCCAAGGAGAGGATCTCTCAGGTCCCCCGGGTAGATAATAACTTTTGGAGAATTAATAAGAAACTTTGAGACATCTCGAACAGCGATACAGTGCACTGCTTTTACCGTATCATCACTAACAAGCTTTTGTAAGATGTGTCTACCGAGAAATCCCGTAGCCCCTGTTAGCACGACTATCCCACTTGGAGGCCCGTCATTAAGCTCATGATTATTACCGACTGATGTGATGGCTGGAAGCTGCTCATGAAATGCCACCTCTTCATTCCAGTCGATATCTGCTTCAATTTCGCGAGACGCGTGGTTTTCTATGGTCAGTGTATCCAACATTATTGTCATTTGCCCTAGCCTGCTCGCTTCGAAAAGGGAGGCCAGTGGAAGGAGAGCGCCGAATTGCTTGTGTACTTCGTTTTGTACACGAATAAGAAGTAATGAATTACCGCCGATAAGAAAAAAATCAGCATCAGACGTGATAACATCCTCGCTCACGATATCACCGAGCACAGAAAGCCATATTTGCTTCATTTTACCTTCGTTTGGACTTCTCACTGGCTGTTCTTTATTGTCGTACTGCTGATTGTCGCGGAGTATAGCAGCCATTTTGCCGAGAGTGCTAGCCTCGAACAACTTCGCGAGTGGGATGTCATGGCGTGTTCGTTCCTTGATTTTACTTTGAACCTTGATTAGCAGTAGCGAATTACCGCCGACCAAGAAAAAGTCGGAGCCTTCTTCTAGCTTCTGCCCATCAATTAGATCACCCAATATGTCCCTCCATATCGCTGCCATCTCATTTTGGAACTGCGCGCTCCGACTTTGGATGAAACGTGGCGAAGATTTCGGAGGTTCGGCGGCCTTCTTCAGGGGTGATTTGGAGAGGAGTTTCCGATCAACTTTCCCATGGTGATTTAGTGGCATGAACGGCAGGGCTACAACGACAGAAGGACGCATGTATTGTGGAAGTGCGAGACTAGAGACAATATTACGGAGCATGCTGTCGATTACTGGCCCGTTGGTGCCATACTTTTTCTGAATTTCTTGCGGAAGTGTAACATGCGCAGCGAGGAATGCAGATGCTGCATCCTTCTCATCGTGACACCGAATATGACAAACAGCCTCCGAAACATCACCTTGTCCCGCAGCTACCATAGCTACTTCGACTTCTCGAAGCTCAAATCGCTGGCCTCGTAATTTGACTTGCGTATCGCCGTTTATGCGGCCAAGCGCCACAAAGACGCCATCTTCCCGCATATAGCCACGGTCGCCACTAAGATGTGCTTGTATCCACCCGTTGGCAACTGCTCGGGCACTAGCAAGCGTATCCTTGGGAAATCTAGTCGCTGTAAGGTTTGGCTGGTTTATATAACCAGAAGCAACGCCGGCCCCTCCAATGACAATTTGGCCTGGGACACCGGCTGGAAGAGGATGGTTGTCCTGATCCATGATGTATACGCTGTAATTAGGCAAGGCTTTGCCAATGGGGAAAGATGAAATGTCCAAGTTGCGATCTTGATACAGAATCTCATGAGCATTTGGAATAATTGTCTCCGCAGGGCCATAAGCATTCAAAAAGCGTAAATCCAGCTTCTCCAGCCTCCTGAACCTTTCGACTAGGTTACCGCTAACCTCCTCCCCAGCGGATAGGTGCCACTCCCATGCTGATTGGCGTAATCGCTGAGTGTCGCCATTTTCAAGCCAAGATGTGGCTTCTGATGGGACTGCAAGTGTCAAGGTTATCTTTTGAGAGATGATGAGAGCAGTCAATGCAAATGGATCTCTTCGAACATCATTCCCGGCGACGATGACAGTTCCACCGGTAGCAAGTCCAAGCAACGACTGCCACCAAGAAACATCAAAGCTGAGGGCAATTTGCTGGAGGACGGTCTGGGGCTTCATAGGAAAGGTTTGAAGAAAGCCTTTAATGGTATTAGTGACCATTCGGTGAGGAAGCGAAATGCCCTATTCATATATTAGCCTGCTAACAGGGCGTTAAAATTATGCGGAAGGCGCTAGTTACTTTTGGTGTACCAGTAGATCCGCTTGTATAGAGCACAATTGCTTCATCTGGAGGTGTAGGGGTATAAAAACCGAAATCTACTCCTTCCCCGATGTCACTGACTGTAATTACGTCAACTATAGTTGCGGTTTGTGCGCCATCTATATCTTCACAAAGCGTTCTGGTCGCATCGTGAATTAGAATAGCGGAAACATCTGCGTCGCACATAATAGATTTTAGTCTTTCGGCGCTGTGGGTAACTTCCAAGGGGACATAGCTCCCCCCGAATCGCCAAATTCCGAGCATAGAGCATATCCAATTTACACTCGGCTCTTGGAGGACACCAACCCTAGACCTTGGTGAAATACCTAATACGGAAAGCGTATGGGCAATCTGGGTCGATTTATTCATCATTTCGGCGTAGGAAAGCTTAGCTCCATGGGTATCCTGCAACGCGATTTCGCTAGAGCGTTCGGTAGAGATATCATCTAAGAATCCATTGAGAGACCCTAGTCCAATGTCAAGACTTGTTCCTATAGTTATATTCAGTCAGTGTTAGTGGTGTGGGCTTTGGTGACCATCCCAGAGAGTATGCAAACCGCTCGTACTTATTACGGGGACACATCCATGGCTTACCTTGGCCTAGGTGGATCGCGTTTTGAATTGCTGCCATATTGAACATCTGTGGCGCAAGTCCTAAAACATGTATATCGCTAGTGAAAGCATCCATTAGATTGATGAAACAATCTAGCAAAATTTGGGCCTCGCGTTCCGTATACAACTCTTTCTGGACCATGAATGCTATCCAAGGATCGCCGCTAGGAGGATCAATGATAGCCAACATGATATCATATAGAGTTTCTCCTATCTCATATTCATTGTTCTCTATGGTTCCATCTCTAAATGATCTTGACTCTCTCGTGGGAATATAGTTGATGAATGTTTGGAACAGAGGACTATGTGAAGAGTGTCGAGTAGCCCCAACTTCGTCTAGGATGACGTCAAATGGAACTGCTGAGTGGTTCATAGCGGCAAGGGTTTTATCTTTGTTTTCTTTCAGCAAAGAAAGAAAAGGTTTTGACATTTGTGAGCGCAGTCGAAGCGGGAACAGATTCAAGAATATACCAATGCTGTCTTCAGAGCCGGGATCGTTGTGCCTGTTCGCACTTGCCACGCCGATACAAATATCTTCCGACTGGGCGAGCCGGCTCAGAAGGACCTGAAAGACAGTCACATAGAAATTGAAAGGAGATTGGATATACCCCTGTCTTCGAAGACCTTGAAGTTTCGCTGTAATGGCAGGGTTTAGCCGTCTTTCTGCTCTAACATGGCGGTATGTTGTTCTGGCTACTGGGCGAGATCGGAGTGTATTCTGAGAGAGAGGAAGAATGGGGAAAATTTCTGGAAGATCTTGAAATTCGCTCTTCCAAAACGAGATGTCATTCGCATACTGCCCCGTGCGGAGGCGTTCATGTTGTCTTTTTGCAAATTCATTTTGCTGGAACGGTGGCGGCAGCTTTGTTCCCTCATAAGCTAGCCTGAGCTCCTCAGTGATAGCTATAACGCTCATCCCATCGATATTTATGTGATGGTATCCTACAACCAGATGATGCCGGAGTGCAGACTCCGTAAGGAGCAGAAGTCGTAGAGTTTCACCTCGAGCAAGATCATAGACATGATTGTTCATGGCATCGGTTTCTATGCGTAATTGTTTTTGAGATGAAATTATCTTCGTCTCCAGGCATAATGGAGACTCAACTAAGACTCCTTGCTTTGGTTGGTGGGAGCTGTCAGTGAAGAATGCCGTCCGTAACCCTTCATGCCGACCAGCCATCTCGCGTACAAGTCGTGAGAGCAACTGAATATCAAGATTTGTTGTGATCAAGAATGAGACTGTTCCATTAAAAAACGTCGGGTCTCCGACAAACTGAGTCATAAACCAAAAGCCTGACTGCCCAAAAGGCATTGGGAGAGTCTTGACAATTTTTTGTTGAGGAGACGATTGCACATATTGCTCTGCATGTCCATCAATTCCACGAGAGATGGGCTTCTAAAGTCCGAGCTCGGTACCCCGGTAAGAGTGTATGGATGATGTAGTTAGTGGAGATGTCGTCGGACTAGTGCCATTATCAGAAGCAGATGAAGAACCATCAGAGCTATAGAGCGTGGTTGCTTCTGAACCACGCGCTATCCTAGGTAAAAATGATCCTTTGTGCCCATATGAACTTCTCAAGCGCACACATCCTAAAGCATTTAACTTGCTTCCACCCGAATAGATTGTTCTAATTCGAAAATTTAAGAAATCTGTCCTGTCTCCATTTCTCTCGTGGCTGCCGGTTGACTGAAGTTCAAGGATCGTCGTAATTGCGTCCTCTTGGGTTTTCAGGTCGATGTTATTTTCGATAAAGAAGTCTTCAAGTTCAAATTTTCGAAGAATTCTTGATCCGGAGAATTTCAGAGATGCCTCCACAACCATCTTGACATACCCAGACGCCGGAAAAGTGCTTGGTAGTGAAACATGCTGATCAACAAGAGAGAGTAAATTCAAAGGATGCAGTGTATTGCGCCAAGTAATACCTAGTCCTAGCGGGTCGATACTTTGGACTCCAAGAAGGGAGTGCGCGACCTGAACTTGGGGTAGCGCCTTGTTGCCGGTATGAGGGTGGCTGGACATTTCGTCTCAATATGTATGGCACTATAGCCTAGGGTCCTATCTCCGCGAGGAGCTTCCAAGGGAGTGATTTGTTTAAATCAATGTTATTTCGACAGCTGTAGTTGTGTAATTCCTCATACGACTTCACGGAAAAAAAGCGAAAATAGTAAAAGAAGTGCGACAAAGAGCCTACACGGCGGACAGCGTAAGCCCTAATTGATAGCAGTTGAACGCAGCTGAGAGCCAAGAGCCTTGCTTATAGTCATGTATACTCAAAGTCAATATTTATGTCAGTGTATAGCGAAATACACTTAAAAGGAGTTACCTCTTAATGACAAAGTAGAATAGCTGTAAAATAGATCGTGTTGCTTGGGAATTTACAAAAGTCTTTCAATAAACATTGGAAAAGGAAAGGGTAGACTTGAGTGTCGTTATAAATATCGCAGTATAATCCGTTTATACCTAGTACATGTAGCTAGATACCTGTCTCGCATAGCCAAGGCTAGGTAGTATGGCGGGATATCGTTAACGTAAATTTCGACCTGATTGCCTGTACGGCTAGTAAGACATGTGTAAGCTCGATTTAAGGAATAGTTTGCTATACGGCTTCAAGGATCACATTTAGCGCATTACACAAATACGAGACACAGCCAATAATATATTATAAAACACATCACCGCCCAAAATGATGACTGCATATACCAATAGTTCATATTGCTGACAGGTGTATTAGTACGATCGTGTCATATTTTCATAGCAATCATTAGGGACTAGGCGCAATTGTGGCGTCTTATTAATGGAGACGGAACAAATTCTGATAATACTCCATGCGCAACATGCGCAAAATGTAATTTCTTATTCAACAAAACACTCTAGTCCGTCGTAGCGGTAGAGACAAGATACTTTTAATTAGGTAAACATTGGGTCTATCTTCATCATGCAATTGAATGCTGCTGCTACCAGTACTGGAATATACTTAATACTTGATTGCAGCAGCTCGTGTTTCTTTGTACCGCACCATTACTACAATAAGTGGCAGCATTTTGCTTATACCATAGCCGTTTTGCCAAGGAGCAAGCTAGGTAAAACCGTGAAGCAGGTGTATTAATGCAGATGATATAATTGTTCAGTTTGGATGTATCGACTTTTTATCTGCAATCAGTACTGCATCAAGTAGCTTACAGCAAAGGTGGGATTGGAGAGTGAATATGTTCAAAGGCATTCAAAAAAAGGGTTTAGCGCAGTTAATATTTACACGCTGTAGCTTCAGTATGCTAATTATCCCCCTAATCGCAGTCTTTTGCAAGTCCCCAATGTTTAGGCATGCGTCGTATTTGACTTGAGCAAATACTTGAACAATAAAACGAAGATCAAAAGATAAATAATGCTTTACTAAGTTACTATGGTTGCATTTTGCTAGATTTCCACAATACAATCAGGTCACGAGACAGGGTGCCTAGTGGATATTACTATCTAAGTCATATACTAGATACCTACAGTAGTTAAAACTCTAGTTTTTATATAATATAATATATATTTAAGTATAATAGGTTATAAGCCCAGAAGCCTTAATATAATTAAATAATTTTAATTAATTTTAAATAAACTTTTAATTAATTAATTAAGTATTTACTTTAATTAACTTTAAATTAATTAATTTAAAAATAAATTTAAATTTTTTTATATTTATATAGTATTAATAATATAGTTATATTATATTTAAAATATTATATAACTTAAATATTTTAATATTAAAATACTTTATTAAAAATTTTTAACTTTTTATTAAATTAATATTTTTTTAAAAATTAAAATAA